AACGCTGCCCTTGACAAAGACGGCGCCTCCCGGCTCCACTGCGCACTCCAAGTGTCCTCATATTTTTTTAAAAANCTTTTTTTAAAAAATATCCGTTTGGCTTTTGTTCTTTTGCTTAGGCTTGCAAGCCTGGTCCGCGCGACGTACTGTTGCGAGCACCCCCTACACGCCGGCGTCGCCCCTGGAGAACTTTGCGGCACTGGAGGGCCGAGTAGCGCTTCACGTTCTCCTGGAGCGATACCCATTGACCCTCCCCGGTTACACCAAGTTTGACCTACTTTACGACGCCTTTCGGGAAGCTGTCAACGAGGAAAACTCTGCGCTCAGCACCGAGGAGTACGAGTATCTGCGCGCATTCAGCGCCGACAGCGCTGGCCGCAAGGGCAAGAAGACTGCCAACAATGCCGCAACCGACCCGTAAGTTTTTGCGCTGGCGTTCCAGCATCACTCTACCGGCTTGTACCCTGCCGTTGAGGCCCCACTATTGTGAGCGAGACTCACCGAGATGAATCCTCAGACAATACCTTGAGTTTCACAAGATGGATCTAGCAGCAGCAAGCAAAGACTTGACTTATCACCGTGACCAGATTGAGACCGAGGCCGATCGTACCAATGACCGCCACTCCCTCTTGCGCATGACCGAGCGCAAGCTGCATCTCGTCATCAAGACGGCCCAGCATGATGCCTGGCACTTGCCAGTGATCACCCTTGAAGCCGAACACGGCTCTCTACGCGGCGTAAGCTACCACCCACCATTGGCACAACGCCCCTGTACCGTACTGAGCAAACAGAACTGCGTATTGCCCCTTGCTTCCCACCTCACCCTTGCTTTGCCTTCCCGCCGTGCGTTATGGGTTCTCGTGTAGGCCTGCGAGGCACTTTTGCAGAATACAGTCGACGAAAGCACGCGTACCTACACAATTGGCAATTGCCCTAGCAGCGTCCTGGTTCGTGCGAATGTTGCCCTCCCCGCGGTTCATGGCTAATCACGCACTTACATTGCTGTCTGCCGGCGTTCCCTACTTCTATAGCCTCCACTGGCCACAGCTCCCAATCAGACGGTATGTTTCCTCGCACAGCAAGCCCCATGTAGCTGTCAGCCACGTCTGTTGTCACCCCGGTCTTGCTTTACCAATCCCTCCTCATATCTCCCTTGGCCATATCCTTCCTTCCCACTGCAGAGCTTCGTGATGCGTGCCCTCCTTGTGTCAGACCAAGCCTCGTTTACGAATGCGGTCAAGGATTTCGCTTGGGTCACTGCTGACGAATTGCCTGAGGTGCTCGATGCCGACGTGGCGAATCAAGTGCAAAAGATCACATTCTAAGTCGTGGGAGCCCTAATAAGGGGCCTGATCGGCACCATTCTCCTGCCCTCTGCTTCTCGCTCGTTTTCCTTGGTTCGCCCCACTATTCTTGTTCCGAACCTTTTGCAAATCCCCATCACCCCCGTCCTTTTTTTTTTTTTTTCTTTAATTTCCCGTCTCCGCCACATGTCTCTTTCTACTTGCCTGCTTATGCAACCTCCCTTCCCCAATCCGGATTGGCAGTCCTTTGCCGTCGCGTTTGGGTGTCCTGGGGTGCTCCTGTCCCCTGCCGTTGAGCAAAAGACTGCTTGAGAGGCTGCCGCCAACATCTATGGCTGTGGCTATCCATCTGAGTCGCGTAGCGTCAATTTATCACCAAATCCTGACAGAGTTTGCTTCGGCCCTCCCGACTCACATTAAAGACCATAAGAAATCTGAGTGCCGCACTGGGCAACCCAAAAATTTACATTGGATGTTATTAACTCTTTGTGCTTGTGAAATCAAGCCACAGCAAGTAACCCCCAAACAAGTTAAAGCGGTGGAGCACAAAATAGGAGTGTCCTACAATGTATGATGCGTATCAGCAGAGGAGGGGAAAGTGGAGCAGCCCATTCAGGCTACCCAACCTAAAATTAAAAAAAAAAAAATTGAAACATCATGCACGCTCTAATCATTCACGCTGCGCTGCATGAGGGGAGCCATCATGTCATCGTCGCCCTCCAAAACGATCTGATCCAACATGGCCTCGTCGTCGCCCCCATCATGCATTAAGCCTTGCACCCGCACCAACCTCCGCTGAAGAACACAAGGCGAATCATGGGAGACATCAGAGTACATTCTTTCAAGGTGGTTTCCCCGAACCAAAGAGCATGTTCGCACCTTGTACATGCCAGCTTGACTGCCCCAGGGCAAAAAGGGCCCGATCATCACCCAGCCCACAAATACGATGTAGACGACCACGATGATTAGGGTGGGTACCAAAAAGTACCTGTGGCGACCCCAAGTGAGTTGACTTCGGAGCAGAACCATGATGCTTTCCAAGACAAGGTACGGCTGTCACAAACAACACACCACTTTTGTGGGAACCCCTCGATGCTGTCGCCAAGCAGTACCATGTTGACAGCAAAAAGTCCCAAGCTAAAACGTTTGGCATGCGAGAAAAAAATTGCATGAGTTCCCATGCCCGTCCACTCAAACGCCAGCATGGCCTCGTGGAGCAAACGCGTGACTGTGATCACGAGCCCGCTACAAATAAAAGCACGGGACTCACCAAAACAGCCAACAGATGACTTGCGATAAGCGTGAGAGTGCGAATCGGCCCATGATACCAGGAATGCTGGAAAAGTGAATGACTGGCACGAGAGCAAATGGCAGCTATTTATTGCACCAGGCGTGTGAGTCGGCCTGTTGTTTGACAGGATGCGCCCTTTGAAACGCACGAAGGGTTCGTTTCCACTCTCCCTTTTCTTGCTCCTGCTTGCTTTCTCTGGCAAGTGAATATCGAGCGAGTCACAAGTGGCCCTACCTGAAAGCTCTGCAAAATGTTCATCCACTCGTTCAAATCGTTGAGGATGCGGTGAGACGCAAAGAGGGCAACCTGATGCCGCCAAAAAAGTCATACATGCAGGTGTCCAAACACGCAATCATTGCGATGCCATAGGGCACACGAGCAAGCGGCAGTGTGAGGGATCTGGCCGCGGCTTGGTGCAACGATACGAGTTGGCTGCAGGACTCAAACAAACCAGCAGGGTGGGAATCATGGCAAAAGAGCGGGTAATGGCCACGCGCTTCCACGGCTTGATCTTCAAAGATAAAAATCCCTCCATGACAAACTGGCCAGCATAGGTGCCTGGCACGAGCCCGGAATGGCGTGTCGTGAGATCATGGCCGTGAGGCAATCCCTTGCTGAGCGACAAATCTGGGCGACGCACCTGTCATAGTGGAGCTTTGGCCAGCAGCCAAGAGCCCAATGGCCCAAATGTATTTCATGGCGCTGCCATACTTTTGGGTCAGGTACTCGCCAGAGGAGATGAGGTCAATGTTGTCCGAGTCAAAGTCGGGGTTGTTATAAAAGGCCTGAAGATGAACAAAGAGTCAAATTGATCAGCGGTACAAAGCGCATACATGTCTTCCACGACCACCGTGGCTAGCCGTCGATCACGCCAGGCTGGCTGACGGATATATATGGCCTCAGTGCTACGCACCTCGGCAAAGGCGCCCACAATGAAGACGTTGATCACATAGGATAGCACTACGACATGGGACATGAGGCCAGGGGTGTATAAGGCACTGATGCTGCACTGCATCTTGTCCGAGCCATCAACATCGAGTGTTCTTTTTTTGATGAAGTTTGAGGGAACAAGGTCATACAAAGAGAAATGGTTGAGTCGATAGCACTGTATTTGTTCGCCTCGCGAATCTGATGAGACACCAAGAAAGACAAGCACACTATGAGCCAGCCGAATAGAGAGATGCAAAGCACATGGTATTGACTAAAGGCATACGCTACGACAGCAAACCTCGACGGCTTTGGCGCGATTGACACGGCGCGATACCAGCAAGGCGCTGTGCAAATAGAGATTATGCCTAGAAAGCAGCAGTTGAGTGAAGTAAACGGAGTGTGTTTGTCAAGGCACGAGCGGAGCGTCCGTGGGAGCAGCCGGTGGGCGGATCATGATGACATGCAAACCGATACATACGGCATAATAACGGCGCCAACGATGCCCACGGCGGGTAGGACCGATTTGCGATCACAGTCGAACGCAATGATACCCTCGATGGCTGCAGAGTTGTCGGGATGACCTGCAACATACTGTCGGGGATGTTTCGAGGCCGCGACCATTTTGTGAGTGTACATGTGTGTGGATGAGTGTGGATGAGTGCGCGTGCGCACATGTGTGTGTGTGTGTGTGTGTGTCAAAAAGTATATAGGGATGAATGCGTCTGTGCCTCGCCAATGCAGAGACCATGAGCAGCGTACCATGTAGCCAAAGCTGATTGACATTGTGGCAATGAGCACGGCAAAAAGGGCTTCAAGCTTGCGTAGACCCGCTTGCTCAAGCAACAGAAAGGTGAATGTATCCACAGCAGTGATGAGGGCGCCAGCCCACAGGGGAATCTGGTTGTTGGAGAGGAAATTGATGGCAATTGCACTGCCAATCACCTCCTGAACATCACTGGCAATGATGGCAATTTCCATCATGACCCTAAATAGATCGAAATGGCACGAGAATTATGAGCCATGCATATAGCAGAGCAAGCCTCAACATCACTCTGCTGTGACAGGGCGAGCAGAGACAGCCCCGTCATCCGGGACAGGAAAATACTAGAGTAGCGAGACGCACCAGAGGGCATACTTGGTACCCGGCGCATACATGACGCGACAGACTTGGGCCAAATGACGCCCATTAACGAGGCTGATGCGGGTGGACAAGACCTGTTTTGCGAGTAAGCGTGTGTGCGTTGCAGAATGGGCAGCTGATGTCGGGCTGAGGGAAGGGCAGCGGGTGCGCACCTGAAAAAGCAGGGCGATGATGGTGGTCCACCACAGAACCCATAGAAGCTGGTAGCCCGAGACAGCACCAGCCTGAAGCGAGCTCTCAATGTTTCCTGGATCAACCATGGCGATGGACATGAGCAGGCCTGGCCCGGAAAAGGCCAAGAGCTTGCGCCAGGAGAACAAGGGCTGGCACCAATACGTGCAAATGTGATGTGGACGAGACAGGAACAGCACAATCGCGAATGAGTTGAGGCAGTAAAGATGGAAAACCGACCAAGTTGAGATTGCTTGCAGGCACACGATGCGGCGAGACAGCCCACGGCGGGTTCGCTCGGGTGTGCAGACATCAGCGAAACTGCGTACCGGGTCAACGCCAGTGGGTTCGGTCGGCACGGGAACCGAGTAGGCCTTGATGTGTTGAAATTCATTCTCGGCCTCGTAGTCGACTACATCGTTTGCCCGACAGAAATAGGCATCAAGTACAATGAGGCGATTTGGGCAGTACATATCATGAGCTGGGCGCTGAGCTGCACGCGCATGAGCAGGGATGTTACCTTGATCATCAATAAGTTCCATGATGATGATGATGATGAACTCAAACTCGAGGGAGAGCGGTGACTCCAAGTCCAACAAAATGCAAAGCCGCCCTCAGAGGGCCAGTTCGCCTCAAGGCAGCCGAGCCAATCGTTGGAACCGGGATCTGTGCTCCGAACGGCTCCGAGTCGCACGCGCCGTCGAATCTACAGAGACAACGAGCGGATCAGTAAGAGTCAAGGCATTATTCCAATCTGAGCCCGCCCTCCCCTGCGTTGCCGGCACGCATGCCCATACCACCGGGCTCCAACCGTCGCCCCAGCCACTGCCACCATGTGCTCAAGCCGAAGAATACACGCACCAACAGAACCAAGGAGCGGGAGCGTGAGTGTGTGTGTGTGTGAGTGAAGAGTGTGGGAAAATGGAGGTGAAAGGTGTGTGTTGTTTTCGTTGAGCAAAAGAATGGATGTAATACTTTTCTCGTGTACCAAAAGTAAACGATTTACGTCACGAACTTTCGAGCCCTCTTTCGAAGACTGCGATAACCTGAATATTCGCTTCAAAAGTTGAGGGGGTGAATCGCTGTCGACACGTGTGAGTGGCACATATCGGATAACATTGCATGATCTTGTCCCGAATCGGCCGCGGCAAGGGAAAAGCGCGCTGGTGCATGCCGCGGGCCATGGTCTGCATAAACAGGGATCTGGATTGAGGACTCGGACAAGGCAATGTGGCCATAGCACATACGTGCAAGTACCAAGCTCTTTGCTCTCCGCTTACTATTTATTGCTGCACCTCAAAAGAAGGATGCCAGTGCGAGTGGTTGGGGCTTTTGTTTTTTGTTTTTGCCCAAAACTGTTGAAACACTTCAAACGCGAGCAGGTGTGTCAGGAAGGGTCAGCGTGACCCTTGCTTGCCAGGTTCTGCCGAGGTGAACAGACACGGACAGACTCAATTCACAGATACCACTCAACGTTGGCAAGGTTTCTTTTTGTTTTACAAGTAAGACGCTACTTGATTCGCCCATCCAAAGATAAGATCCTCTTCTTGTACACATTGACAGACCAAAGGACTCGAGGTGGTCTGAACGCGTCCTCGCAAAACGCAGATCGGGATATAAGACTTCACAAACATGTGCCAATAGTCAATTCAGGGACATCGCCCTCACCACGACAACCAAGTGAATGTATGATACAAGGACCTCTTGGAGGTTCTCGCCGCAGGGGCCGGGCCGTGAAGCGCTTGCTAGTCAACGTCTTGAATAAAAGCTCTCAGTCATCTAGAAAATCGTCTTCATCATCATCCCCACCCACGTCGGCTTCGGTTTCCATATGAGATTGCATCTACCAAAACCAGTCCAGGACACAAAGGCAGGTGAATATACGCCAACAACGTCCGAGTTGGAAGGCCGATGCGCTGGGCGCGCCCAGCTCACAAGTAAATCCACAAACCTGCTCAGCAGCGGCAATAGCGGCCAATCGCTCCTCCTCACGAGCCGCTCGCTCTGCCTCGAGCCGCTTGGCCTCTTCAGCAGCCTCTTGCTCCTTCTGCAGCTGCTGTTGCCTGCAATGGTCAAGTGTACACACAACTCCGCAATGAGCCTGCCTGTGGTATTTGAGCAAGTATGCAAGTGCGAGGGTGCTAGAAGCCCATGGCACGCACTCTCGACGACGCTGCTCCGCCTGCAGCGCTTGCTGCCGTTGCTCGGCCTTCCTTTGTTCTTGCTCTTCGCGTAAGCGGGCCTCAGCTTCACGAAGCTCGGCGGCTCTTCGCTTCTCCGCAGCCTTGTGCTCTTGAAATCGCTCAAACTCTTCGTCTAGCTCGGGTTGACCGGCAGTACTCCCACCAGCAACGGCGTCGTCATCGTCATCGTCGCTTTCCCACGCGCCTCTGTTGCTCATGAACGTGCAGAGAAGCATCAATCAGGAAGGCTCCCCGAAGAATGGCAAGCAAATGGCCCTGCCCACTGACACCTGACACATGACCTGTGTAGTTCTAATTTTATACCCAACCTATCCCAATTCTTGGAGGCTGCCCTGACCCCCTGACTGCTAGCTGTGAGAGCCGTGGCCCTGTGTACAAATGTGTTCTCGTGACTTACTCAGACTTGACGACGGGGGTGACAGCATCATCGTCAACCAATCGAGGTGGCACAGTGGCGTCTGCAAGGGTCGCAAGACCAATAGGCCGAGCGGCGCCAGAGAGGGGAGGGAAGGAGCAGTGCACAGGTGACGACGGCGTGAGCAAAGTGTTGACGACAGGCGCGATGGTGCGGCCCGGCAAGCCGGAGCCACCCAGTACCGTCATGTCGCACCTCGCACACCACCGCCGCCACAACCGTCACAACCAACCACTCACAACTCACGGCACTAACATCGACCTCAGACCACCACCAAAACCAGCCAGGCATGGCCCAAAGCAAAAAGGGCCAGCACATCACGAGACAAGCGAGCCAATTACCAGGCTCAATTATGTGGGCGGCTTCCAGAGCAGCAACGAGTAGAAACACAAGAAGAAAAAAGAAACCAAAACAAGTGCAAGCAAGTAAACCAAGAAGAAAGGAGAAGAAGAATGGCGGCGGTTGAAACACCCAGTCAAAGACCATTAATGTAGCAAGCACACACAACGAACAAACAGGTACCAGCTTGAGAGCTCAGCCATGGCAAGGTGGTACGCACACGGCACAATCAAGGCGCACACACGCGCCGGCACAACCGAAAACATTCATGCCCAACCGAGGAGATGCCCCCCCGGTGTGCCACAAAGGGAGTAGGATAGTTGACACACCCACCCAGTACCAATATCAAAGCAAAAGGAAGATCCAGGATGACCCGGCTCGAGAAGCGAGCCAGTATGGGTGGGACATAAATACAAGGCAACAAGGCCAAAGCACAACACATTGTGCAGAATCAAACACTTTTTGTTTTTAAAAAAAAGAGAAAGAGAGCGAGCCAAGGCGGCGGAAAAGGAGTGCACATGTCACAACACCAAAACTGTTTGTTCACCATATCCTAACCTGAGGCAGGCAGGTTGCTGCGGACGTAGCGATCCAAAGCTCGCAACGTGCGTGTAGACAGCTTATCAAAGTCAAGCTCAAACTCATCATTTGCGTCCCCGCCAACATTGGGCTCATGCGATTGGACGATGTTAACAATCTCCGGTACGCAATCAGATGGTAACTACAAAGCAAACCCCACCATGATAAGCCAGGACCGATACACAGCACGTATAAACAAAGGCAAAGGGAGCCGAGATGAGACGTACCAAGTTGATGTTTTGGCTCAAAATCTTCTTTTCGTCCCAGGTCATGGGCAACTGAGCCTCGTCACCGCTTGAATGACCATCTTCGTCGTCATCGTCATGATGATGCAGGGTGGTGGGAACAGCGGTTGTCGCTGGTGCAGGTGCAGGCGCGGGCGTCGACTTGGGAGGAGCCTTTTTGGGAGGAGCCTTGGCTCGCTTTTTCGCGGGTTTTTTAGGCGCAGGCTTCTTCTTTTCAGGAGTGGGCTCCTGGTATTCTTCCTCCTCTTCCTCGTCCTCGTCCTCGGTTTCAACGTGCTTGCGCTTGGGGGCTTTTTTGGCCTTCTTTTTCTTTTTCTTCTTGGGCTTCATCATGTTGCCGAGACCGGGGAACCCGGAAAGCAGACCGGGCAGCGCACCGCCACCTTGCAACTGTAGCAGCTGCTGGTGAGCCAAAACAATACTCTGAGTAAGCTGCTGTACTTGCTGAAGCTTCAGCTGCTCGTCATCCTCATCGCTAGAGTCGCTCGAATCGCTCGTGGAATCAGTCACAACACGTGTGGGCTTGGCTGCACTGCCCTTGGAGCGGCGCTTGCTAGAGCTGCTGGCAGCCGTGGCCTTGGATTGTTTGGCAGGAGCTTGCTTTCCCTTGCTAGCCTTGGCCTTGCTTGAGCTCGAGCTCGAGCCGGCCTTGGCCTGTTTGGCTTGCTTCGCTGGTGGGGTTCCGGAGGCAGCAGCCGGCGTCTTGGGGGACGCTGTATGGCTGTTGGTGCGAGATGCCATTGTGGCAGCTGAAGTGCCAGCATGATTTAACTTGGACGTACTTGATGCCGCTGCGTGTGACTTGTTCGAGGCGCCCGTGCCCGAAGCTGACGCACCCGACCCAGCAGTCGCTGCGACAGAAGACGATTTGGCCGAGGTTGGAGCCGGAGTTGCTGGGGCCGGGGCATCCAAAGCAGCCCATTGCAGCTCAAAAACTTCACTGGTAGATTTGGCCATCTTAACCACGTCCGAGCCCGGGGGGTTGTACGTATAGCAATTCGCAAAGACCAACCGCACGTCGTGTGCAAAGTCGTCCCGCGTCTCGTATTCGCCCTCCTCCAGCTTTGTTCGAACCGTGCCAAGGTCCATGGGCTGCTTGATCACATCATAGTAATCAGGAATGTTGAGCTTGACAATGTCCACGGGCTCATAAAAAGGCCACGCGTAGGCCTGATGCTTCTTGCCAAACAGGTCCTTGATGATGTCGTAGCAGACACGCATGTGGGCAGGCAAGCGGCTCGACGCTGCCAAAAGCCCGTCCTTGGGTGCGCGGATGACACGTGATGACTGGCGTCGATGCGTGGGGAGCGATGGCACTATAAGAGCTGGAGCCGCCTTGATGGCTTGGGCCGACTTGGCTTTGGCCGAAGGGCGATCCAAGGGCACCTCAGGCTCGGGGAGATTGGCCAGCATTTGCTTGTAGTCGCTCTCCAACGCTTGTGACATGATATAAACGTCCTGAACAAGGCAAAACAAGTCAGGCGTAAGCGAGGTCAAATCGAGCTGGTCGCAAGGGCCACTCAACAAAGTATGCGTGTACATGGGGATGTGTATGTGATGATATGTGATGGCATGACGCGGAAAGCGCGCTGCAGTGCTCAGGAAACGATTGAAGAAGGTCAATCCCCACGGTTGAGTAAGACTGGGGCGACATTTTGTCTTCACCGCAATGCACGCGCGACACGAGACAAGAAGAAAATGTCGACGAAAAAGAACCAAAACAAGATGCAGCTAGTATGGGTTGGTCGCTCAGGAAACGATTGAAGGTCAATCCCCACGGTTAAGTAAGACTGGGGCGACATTTTGTCTTCATCGCAACCACAAGCCAAAACAGCCGAGCCGAAGCAGGAGGAACGAAAAGGATGGCGTGTCGAGACAAACAGAACGAGGGCGGGCATGGTAGGCAAAAGAAAAGGGTAAGCAGATGCTGTCGCTCAGGAAACGATTGAAGAAGGTCAATCCCCACGGTTAAGTAAGACTGGGGCGACATTTTGTCTTCACCGCAAGAGCACCGAAATTACCAAACAGCACAACCTTAACAAACAAACGAACAAACAAAAAGCCGGTCAATCACGACAAGTTGTTGCTCAGGAAACGATTGAAGAAGGTCAATCCCCACGGTTAAGTAAGACTGGGGCGACATTTTGTCTTCACCGCAACAACTTCGCCTGTCCTCCCGGAAAAAAAAAAAAGCCGATACACTCGGACAAAGCCACGCAAACATATCAACAACAGCTGAACACCAGAGGCGGAGAAAGAGAGAGCTAATGCCGAAACGGAGAAGATTGCTCAGGAAACGATTGAAGGTCAATCCCCACGGTTAAGTAAGACTGGGGCGACATTTTGTCTTCACCGCGATCCAAGCCGTTTCAAGCCAAAGGACGACAAAACAAGCACAAAAGTGGAATGTGTATAAAAACAGTCGTTGTTTATTATGTGCACACGATGTATGTGCATGTGCCTGTGCAGATGTGTGTATGTGTATGCATTGGCATTGTACATACGTCTGAAGGTCGGTTGAATGTTTGACAATTGTGCCAGACCAATTCAATGTCGTCAAGGCACTCGCGACCGCTAAAGTACTCCTTTTTGCGAAGCTTGTTGCGGATGGTGCCGAGGTCCATGGGGTTTGCAATGATTTCAGGATAGGACTAGTGACAACCACAAAAGAGGGGATGGATGAGACAAATAAAGAAGAAAGGGCACTGGAGAATGGTCGAAGAATGGTGACAACAAGAAAGTGGTGGCAGTCGCGTCTGCGATTGGATGAGGCACACGCCAACATACCAAAAGGCCCAATTTTTTCCAGTCGACGGGTTTTTTGAATGGCCAGGCGCTAGGGTGCTTGTTGAGGGTGGGAAGGATAACTTTGCTGATGTATTGCAGCTGGTTGGTCATGCGCCCTGTTCGAGGGGTTCCACCAGCTGATCCAGAATCGGGCGTACCAGGTGCCATAATGACGCTCGGTGTACCAGGACCGGGCGTGGCGCTGCCTTGCGGCGAGGCCGTGCCATCGTCAGTGCTCGCTGCTGCCAAAAGGGCAGCAGTGGCAGACGGAGCGGGTGCAGGAGAGGCAACAGACTCTGGTTTGTTGTCCCTGTCCTCGTCCACTCCGTTATTCTCGCCAGCCGCGTCAGCCATCGTGTCCTTGCTGGTGGCATCTGCATTCTCGCCCGCAGCGATGGTGGATGCAGGCGTGGGTGACGTCCGTGTTGGCGCGGTTGCATCTGACTGAGAGGCCACCTCGCCAGGCTTGTCGTCGCTCACCGGGTTGCCGTTGGCAGTGTCTGACGTAGACGGTGCCACGTCGTTTGCTTCCTCTGACGTAGACGCGGCGACGCCATCACCAGGCGCTGGCGTCGCGGCGGTGTCGGTGTTGCTCTCGTTGTTGGTGTTGGTGTTGTTATTGTCAGTGTTGTCAACGGCCGGTGTCGTGGGAATTGACGCGGTGGTGGCATTGTCTCCATTCTCCTCCTGGCCAGGCTGCTCCGCTGTGGGGCTATCCGCCACAGTGGATGCAGGTTCCCCTGGCGCTGGAGCAGCAGCGGCGGCCTCGGGCTTGCCATCGCCAGTTGGTGAGGGCAAGGGGGTGCCGTCGTTGTTGCCAGCAGAAGACTCAACCATTTCGTTCGAGTTGGAATTTTCAACACTGCTGGACGTCGTGGGCATCTTGGAGAGGTACTCCTGAGGTTGCTCGCGCTCAGACTGGTCGTCCATGCTGGCCGCGTCGACAACGAGTAATGACGGGCCGTCAGTGCGACTTGGGTCCATGGGCCAGGCGCAAACAAAAGGGGAGGAACGTTCAAGATATCAAACAATAGGGCAGCCAGGATGCAATGGGGCTGATGCGGAACTTTTTCACAAAGGGCAGAGCCGATGATCAGCAGCACGGCAGTAGCGCGCCCATCAAACAGGTAGCGAGGATGGAAAAGCACACGACCCAAATGAAATAGGATGGTGCAGAAAAAAGGCAGTGCTGACAATTCAAAAGCCGTTACAGCCACTGGGCAAGTCGAGCGTAAGGCGGCAGCGAGAAAAGCAAAGAAGAGGTGCCGAATGGGTCAAACGGCAGCCCAAGGAAAGGCCTGACGGAAGATGGTGTCCACAGGCTGAAATGGCAGCCACCTGTTGGACGCCACAAAATGGCAGCCGGTAAAGAAGCAAGGGGTGGATGGGTAAGCAAAATGGTTTGTGGGCTTGCAAAGGCAGTGGCGTTGATAATGTCAGACGAACGATGAAGAAAATGGCAGTCACGAGCGGGATAAAGCCAATCACACGCTCACGACCATCTCTTCACGACCACACACGCACGCACAATCGGAGATACAAACAACTCAACCAGCTTGGTCGCGCGGCAGCTCCCCAGCACGACACAACAGGCAACGGCAGCGAGGGTGCGCACCGCCCACAACCCCGCGCGCCCAGCGACCCTTGAAAGCGAAAAAGTGCGGACGTGCCTGTATGCTGCTGTTGTTGTTGTTGTTGTTGTTGCAGTCGTTGTTACCAAGTGTTGGTGCCAAAGGGCAGCGCGAACATCTGGTGCCCGCGGCTAAAGAATCGAAACAAATGCAACGGGATGACGGGAAAAACGGCCTCGAGGCTGATGTCTGTCAGTCAATCCACAAGCTATTCAAGGGCCTCAAGTGGGCGGAAGCAGGAAGAAAAGCGAGGTGGGGAGGTGGGGAAGTGGGGAAGGGGAGGGGGGGTCAAGACAAGGTGGTGGGGTATTCAGCGTGTGGGTGTGTTAGCGTTCAGTGTGTGTGTTGATTGGTGTGGGGCAAGCGGTCGATGCGTAGTTCCTTTGTCTTTTTGGAGATTTGGGCTTACAGCCGCAGCGGGAGTGAACGCGCGTCACGTCGAAAAGTCGTTACAAGCAGCTTCAAACGCCACACCCTTTTGTTTGTTTTCCTGTTGGTGGAAATGTAAGCGTGTCACGCTACCACGTTGCAGTTACATACAGGTTGTAACGGTCAGGGTAACAATGATGACAACGCGTTCCCTTGCCGTGTCACTTGGTCTCGTTGTAGTGTGACCTTATGAATTTGACCCAAAGACTCGAGCATCCCGACGTACCAGGAGCAGCCAGGTGCAGGGAGATGAACCGTGTCCGTGTCAAGGCACGACCAGCTGGCTGATGCTGATGCTGATGCCGCTGCCGCTGCGACCACGCGTCGAGCTGGTTGGCGACCGGTCTGGTCTTGATCGTTTTTTGGGAGCTTTTAGATAGATTGGCAGAATGTCCAGACTCATGTATGCCTGCATCAGGCAACCCACATAGAGAGACGAGGCACACTAATGGCAACCAGCCTGCAACACATGTGCCACGTGTGTAGTTTTCAACATCAAAAATCAAAACCAAACAATTCAAATTCAACCATGATTACTACCAATTGTCATATTGATCACCCTCTAAAACTCGTTTGTTTTTTTCCCGCAAACTTTGCTCCCTGATTCTTCGTCTGACATTTTTCCCGACGCCACAACAACCAACTTTTTGATTCAGGCCTGCGCAGCAGGACGCGAAATTTTGGCAACGCCAACGCCGTGCCTTTGACTGCGAGCGGGAGGCCAAGCGCTCCACGGTACACAACACACAGCACACAGCAAAGACCAGGGGGCTAGCGAAACCTCAATCGCTTCCCAGCCTCACGCGGCTCCCCGGCGGAGAACGCCATGTCCAATTAAAGAGATGGGTCTGAGCATGAGGTTGGGCCGGGCGGAAGATCCCGGCACCCCCAGCTGGACCGAGCGTCGTAATGTGATAAAATGGTAAATACAGGAGCAGGCACCGACGACTGACTGCGGTGCAAGTGGATGCAAACACCAGAGCAACTGCAGGCGCACCCGGGGTGTGCAGCAGCTCACAACAAGGTTTCATCCAAGGAGATGGCCGACCCCAAAGTGGGCGGCTCCGGTTGCGCATGCAAATCAGCATAGAGCAAGCGAAAGCGCAAGGCCCGCTCCTTGCTCAGCTTCATGAGACACCGAGCACCAAACAATAGCTCCGCTACGCGACGTCCAACACAACACAACACAAACGCGCGTGCACGAGAAAGAGCGAGGGAGAAGAGGAAGGGCGAGAAAGAGAAGAAAAAGGAGAAGGACAGCAGCCAAGTGAGCCAACCAGCAAACAATTTGCACGTCAAGCTTCATCCACATGCGCCATGCCGGGTCAACTCAACAGTACATGCATGGAATGCAAGAAAGAACCAATAGCACAAGAATAGCACGAAAGTGACCTACCGGCTACAAAGATGAGCAAAACCACATCCGAGGCCATCTCAAAGGGGACCACCTCGTTGCGAAGAAGGATAAAAATGAGGAGGGGAAACTCAAACACGGCCGAGGCGATGAGAAAGCTCGTGAGTGCGATCACGCTCTCCGAAAGGTTGCCCCGATAGCCCAGATACAGACGAATCATTTCAATCGGTATCACCAGCGCATACAGCACCACGCCCACAATGCTTGTGAAAAAGACGGGATCCTGTGCTTCATGTGCAGCCAAGCGGACATGAGGCATGCCGGTCACAAAAGCAGCTGAGCCCCTCCTGCCACGAGGTCGCGCCGTCGCGTGTCCCCTTCCTCCCTGACGCCTCAGCTCCTCGTCTTTGTACCCTCTGCTCTTAGTCTTTGTGATCTGTCTCCGCAACCGCCAAGACACAATCCAGAACAATGCTGATACGCACGTCATCACTCGCATCCTTGCGATACGTCGCGGCGAGCACAGTAAGGAGCCAAAAGATCGAGTAGTGGGCGTTGAAGTACAGGCTCATTTGCAGTGCCAAGCTTGAAAGCACCTCTGGACCTGCACATCATTACACAACATGGTATTCAGGCCAGATCAAGACGCCATCAAAGCAAAGTTGAGGCTTGGACGACAGACTCGCCAAGCTGGCTTCTGGTCAGGCACGACAGCATCGTGGGCGCAGCACCCAACTCACCTTGCCGAAGATGGCTGGCCGCGGTGGTCTCATCAACCACGGTGGAACGGCCTGCATTCAAGGCGCTCGGGCCAATGCCTGCCCCATGACCAGAATTTGATCCTGCATTCGCTCCCCCCAACACAGGCGCCGTGGTACGCCGGGGGCGCAGCTCGGTGCTGGACATGACGGCGCCAGCGCCCAAACTGATTGTCAACGTTGCTTCTCTCGCTCGTCTGTATTTGTCAGACGACACTTGGGGTCTTGGCGAGAATGAATGAAAAAAAAAAAAAAACAGAGCAAGGTCATTTTGCTTTGAAGAGGAATTGGATGTTCCTTATGGGGCAAATTGGCACGAGTGCCATGCCAGGGGACGTCTTTTCACGGGGCGACATTGGTCATGGGCATCAGGTGGAGCTGCGCTTCAAAGTCAGGCCAGTCGGGGCAGGCGTTCCAGCACACAAACTCAATGACGCGCGGGGTCTGAGGGGGGAGCGCAAACCCATTGTCGCTGAAGTAGCCGGCCGCTGACCCACGCATCGACAGCTGCAGCCAGGCTACCAAAACATTGGTCTCCACGGAAAAGCACACTCGCTCGTCCTGGCATGCCACGGGTGCCACCTGCAGCTGAGCTGCGGGCAATGGGCGGGCCAAAAAGGTGGGGGGGTAGAGATACATTGTTGTCATCGCCGACGGCGTGCTTCTCGTAGGCCGCGCCTCATTCTCGCTTGGGTGCTGGTGTTGGGGGGTAAGCGTGATCATGACGATAGCTTCGTCTCGCCTGAGCCCGCCCAAGACCGCCCGCAAAGGTGTCACCCACAGATCTCCTGCCGCTTGAGCGCGCAGACCGCTCAGCTGAGAGGTGTTCTGATAGACGGCAGCACCTGTCGCCCCAAAGCCCCAGGTCTCTATGCTCAATCTTGCGTCCACGGGCGCCGTTTCATCGCTGCGCATGACACAGAACCATTGCCTTGATAAGCAAAGAGGGCTGCGAATAACCTTGCTGAGCACCCGCCGCATCACATACTTGACATAGGAGAGCGTCAACGTCTCATTGGCATCGACAAAACCGCTTGCGATGACGGGCGCAAAGGCGTGGCGCATTCGATAGTGCAACAGCTTCCAGCGCGGTGTGTCCGCGTATTCAACTACCGTCCGCACCACATACGTGAAGTTGATCCACAGTGCCACAGCATCAAGAAACAATGCGCGCTTTGCCCCACGCCTCCTTTGCCAACAGGATCGAATACTCACTCGAGCTCCAAGACTGGGCTTGCCAGACATCGTTAAATTGCCAATACAATGCCCCCATGGTGTAGGGCGGCTGGCTACGCAACTGACGGTAGTATCTCGACTGTGTCTCGATGCTCATGCACTGCAAGACCTGTCGTACGCAATCAAACGCCTCGTAAGGGCAAACTGCGCCACCCGCTCACCCCTCCCCGTAGCTGCGCACCGCCTCCGCACACATACTCTCGCACACGCACACACACACACACACACACACACACACACACACACACACACACACACACACACACACACACACACTACCTGCGTCAAGTAGATAAAGCGCTCAAAGTCAAGCGTACTGTTGCTGGTGTTGTACAGGGGAAAGAATCGAGCCAACTACAAACTTGGCCCAGAGAGAGCGCGCGCGCGGTACAGGCAAGCCGTTTAGCCAAAGAACATTCCTGAGCTCACTTACAGCTGCCGCGCGCCTACCACGAGACGTGCCTGTTCAGCGAGCTGGACATTGCCATTGGGGTGGTGCTGGCGATGCGCCATAGCTGGGCTATCATTGGACCAGTCCTTCGGCTGGGTCACCGCTGCCAACGTTCTCAAGGACGGGTATGACTGCCACCCATACTCGGATACGAAGCGTCCTCGAGCGTAGTATGCTGTCAGTGTGACATCGTGGTCATCTACGCTCACGCACCCAACCAAACCCGGTGACGCCTCCAATGAGGCGCGCCAGACACTAGCATTGCTGTCGGACACAACAAAGCTCATAATGGCGCGACCTGACCGTACAGTCATAATGTCGAATATCGCCAAAGTCACCAGACATGTCGCCGGGCACCCAGCGATGCAGGTAGAGCCCACGTGCAGGGTCGTCGATCAAAGCATCGTTGGACGGAGAGCTGGCAAAGAAGGGAGCATGCGGTGCCGTAGCCCACATTTCTCGGCGTTGGCCCTCGTCGAAAAGGGCGACATAGTCGGCCGTGGCTTGCTGCAGAGTCTCGTTGGTGGACATTCGCAGCGTATCGATCAAGCCCTCGTTGGATCCACACCACATGGCCAAGCTGGGGTGACCTGTCAGCCGGCGAGCTTGGTGGCGGACTTCCTGTACGACATTGGCCACAAATGCATCGTTGCGCGGATAAAGCGCGGTGGCAAACTGAAAATCCAGCCACACTAACAAACCCAGCCGATCGGCCTCCGCCCAAAAGGCATCGCGTAAATAGTCACCCCCGCCCCAGACTCGAAGCATGTTGAAATTGGCTGCCACCGCTGAGGCCAGCATTTGCTGCAGCTTTGCGTTTGAAACGCGGCCATCAAAGGCATCAAATGGCACGACTGAGGCACCCTTGCCAAAAACGGGGACGCCATTGACTTCGAGATAGAACGAGCGACCTGAGACATCGGGAAGCGCGTCTCGACGCAAGAGCACGTGGCGCAGGCCGACTGTCCGCGACAGGGAGGTCGAGAGCGCCGAACAATTTGCTGTCGCCGTGAACAGCGGCTGGGCACCGTAGCCACGAGGGAACCAAAGCTGCTCTGGTCGAACCGGCAAGGTCACAGTGTGATCGATCTGCACACGACCAGGCTCGCTGCACTGCACGGTTGCCGTGTCGGCAGCCCCAGACACATTAGCAACATCAAATTGCAGGTCGATCGCTCCCTTTGCGTGAGAGCAAACAACTTCCGCATAATAGTGGAGTGTCAGCGAGTTGTTGACCGTGAGCGGCCGATAAGGCGGCCAGTATGCCCGCTGGGGCATGTTGATATCAACGTCACTTGTTACCTCCAACCAAAAGTCGTTCAGGGCCCCAATGTCATAACTGCGTAGCTTCACGCTGCGCCACAACCCCATGGTACCAAACGCTGGGCCCCAGTCCCAGCCTGCATCGGAAGGCCTCTTACGTAGAAAGTTGATGTTGGCAAAGCCCGTGGGGGTGGCAAATGCTTGCAGGCCGTACGGGTATGAAGCTTGTTCCGCTGCACCGGACGACACTGGACCTGTGAGAAAAGAGTATATGGTGGCATGAGAGTCAGAAGCCAAAACAAGGGCCGTGGTCAGGATGCAGGAGATGAAGCCCTTTGCGCAACGTACTGGCTAGTACTACGGTGAGGTTGTTTTGCGTCGGTCGCAGCGACCCCGTGACGTTAAAAGTCCATCGACGAAACTGATTATTGGTCATTCCAATTTTCTGGTCATTCAAAAACATCTCTGCCACAGTATCGATACCCTCGAAACACAGTTCGACCACCTGTGCCCAATCATGAGAAGTACGCTCTGGACAACCGCTAACGAATACGCCAGACCCCAAGAAAACCAGGTCTTTAGAGACCACCCTGTAGGTTTTTATTGACATACAATACAAGCTCACCCACACGCACGCACGCACGCACAGAGAGAATCCGGCCATTGGCAGCATGCAAAAGCCTGACGCACACCATTAAAAGCGACGACATAGACCACGGGCCTCTTCAACACACCTGATGCGACAGCACTTTGCTAGAGGGCGCAAAGGTCAAGGTATAAAGCCAGCTGGTATTGCGAACCCAGACCAACTGCACATCGTTGTCGGCAATATACGGTTCTGCAATGACCCCGTGGCTCAGTAGATCCAGATGCACCTGTCCTGGCACTGCGCATTACGCCAGCTGACGTCGCGACCCACGGCTAGATGTGACCATTCTGTCACGTACCGGTGGCAGGGATGATGTTGGACCAGTTGGCAAAGGCGAGCTGCCAGTTGGCACCATCAAGCACCTGCACACTCTCGCCTGTGCCAGTCTTTGCCAATCCCAAGACCAGAACCAGGCCCACAGCACGCACACCCGACAGCATCACTGGATACTTGGATGAAGATGAACGAACCGATCTGACCGTGATCAATCCCACCACACAGTCACACACACGCGCACACCCCTCCCGTTCACACACCAAACACCAACTGTCTCCCCACTCACCCACACACCCACTCGCCCACCCCCTCATTCAATGGTCTTGCCCCCAATGCCCACGCAGCCAGCCGCTGTGACCTGCAGCGATCCGACAAAGTGACTGACACTTTCAACAACAACACAACAACAACAACAAGAAGAAAAGTCTGACAATTTATACCGGATTGCTTTATGTGTGTGTGTGTGTGTGTGTGTGTGTGTGTGTGTGTGTGTGTGTGTGTGTGTGTGTGTGTGTGTGTGTGTGTGTGTGTGTGTGTGTGTGTGTGTGTGTGTGTGTGCATTTGGCTGTTGATGTCAATTGCCGCAGTTGACTGGCTCATAATTTGAAGGGAAGGATACGGGGGTATGCTGAGCCTGAGGCAGGGAGATCTGGGATAGCATAGGGCTGAAAAGCTCATGTGATGGGCCACTTTGCCAGGTTTTTACAAGATGGATCCAGGTGAGTCGAGCATTGGCGTTGGCAGCGCTTGTCTTCTTGTCTTTCGCCAGCTAGCTGATGCCCTGCACTGCGCAGCGGATGTGGTGAATCGCGAGCTGTTTCGAGGCATCGTTTATGCAGATGAAGCCACATACGCTGGCGGCCTGGTCGACGGAACCAAGCAGGGATTTGGTGTCCTAGTTGGTCCGAATGCTGCCCAGTATCTGGGCCTCTTCCATGATGTAAGCGCTCACCCCGGCGGCGACCCGTGGCTGGTGCTCAGACGAGCAGTGTCGCCCATCGCTTCCCTTATCCTGCCAATTGGCCTGCCGTAGGGGTTACCCAACGGGTATGGCCTACGCATTGTTGCCAGTGGCAGGTAAGCTTCTCTGAGATGCCAACCTAGGACGGGCGATGCTGGGGCATTCTAGAGTCATAAACGCGAGGCCTGACCCGGTGAACAGCATTTATGCAGGTACCTTTCGCGAAGGACACTTCGATGGCTATGGTGCCTACGCACATCCGCGGGGCGTTCAGTTCTGGGGACAATTCTCGTAGGTCTTTTCTTCGCACGCCGCGCCTGCTTTGGATGTTGCGCGATGGGCAGCAAGCACGCAGTTGACTTGAGATTGGCTGTACCATAACGTGAACATGACATGACGGCTTATAGGCGGGGCAAGCCGCGTGGATTTGGCATGTTGGTTCAGCCCGACGGCGTGTGTGAGCAAGGGTAGGCTTCTCATCGCGTGGCTTCTCCTACCAAAGCTGCTGCAAGTGCTCGCGCACTTGGGTCTGATTGAGTTTTCTCGCTTCACCAGGATCTGGTCAGAAGTGACTTTGCTCAAGCCAGCGCACGCAGAGGCCGCCGTGGAAGCTGCTCAAAAAGCGGTATGCTGCGTTGAACCCTCATCTACGTTGTTTTGAAACCTGATAGCCTTGTTCATGAGGCCCGCGCCTTCTTGTTCCCTGTTACTGACGCCTTGATCATTCGGCTCATAATGGGTGCTTGGTACGCAGGCGGCCGCTGCTCGCGCATTGGTTGAAGCACACGTCAAGCCGGCAGGCTGGTTCGGCCACATCAATAACCCGCACCTTCATATTCCTGAAACTGACGTCTGAGTCAAAAGGATGCTTCACGTCTCCGCGCGGGTCTGAGACTCAGTAACACATAGAGCTTTTTTTTTGACAATGATGCGAGGTGACTCAACGTGCTCAATTGTATTTAATATCCTCGAAATTTTCTTATGTTACATTTACTTACACATTCCGTGAAGACGTTTTGATTATTAAAACCCACCCATGGCTCAGCAGGTGCATCGCCTCTGATTTCTAATGCTGACTGGCCAGAGAAAGCAACGGTGCGAAAGGTCGATCCGATCCAAGCATAGAGAGGTGCTTTCAGTCAATACTGCAAGCATGAAAACAATGCCTGGCTTTGAACGAACGAAGCTTCAGTCGGCAAACCTGCCCACCTGCACTTTTTTGGTGTGGACCAGCTGCGACAGCCGATCAGCAGACATGATCACCTCCACGGTTTGATGCAAGCCGTCGGCATCTACCTGGTGGTCCTGCACGGCGCCGTGCCGATGAAGATATTGCAGAACATCGCCTTGGTCAATTCGAAAGCGAACCGCACGATGGACACGGCCGCGTTGCCTCTGAACCGCCTGTGTGATACGCTCCAGCAGCTCCTCCAAGTTGTCGCCTCTATGCACCGAGATGGGAAGGGCTGGGTGATCCCGCCACAGCTTGGCAGCTCGCTCACGCTTGGCTCGACTGCTTCCGGCCACATGAACATCCAAGTCCTGGTGGGCTGCAGTATCGTCAAATTCGCGCAGATCAATCTTGTTGTGAACGCAGATTCGGGACTCAAGAAGGGCGGTCGAGAGCCCAAGCCCCTCGAGTACGTCAATTACGCAGGCATGCTGGTCCAAGCGATCAGGGTCGGTGGCATCGGTAACATGGACCAACACATCGGCAGCCGCAAGATCGACTAGTGTCGAACGAAAGGCTTCAACCAAAGTCGGTGGCAGGTCTGCCACAAACCCCACCGTGTCCACAAACAGGCATTGCGTACCATCTGTAAGCTTGCCAGCTCGCGTGGTCGTGTCCAGGGTAGCAAAGAGCTTATTCTCGGGCTCAAGTCCTGCGTCGTGCGTAAGGCATTTCACCAAAGCTGTCTTGCCTGCATTGGTGTAGCCCACCACAGCTACCACGGGCATGTCTTTGGTACCCTTCCGGATGCTGGGACGGCTGGCATCAGCAGCGCGCAGCAGCTCACGAATGCGAAGCTCACGGCGTTGCAGACGACGTCGGTTGTGTTCGAGCTCCGTCTCACCCGCACCCCCGAGTGTTCCTGAATGCCCACCCTGCCGATCATAACCCGCCTCGAGTCCCAGTACTAAGCGAGCGCGTTCGTACTCGATGCGCGCCAGCTCAACCTGCCGATGATAGGAGAAGTCAGCCCGGACACACAAGCAACCATGGTCAGGGAAGCAGAAAGTCATGTACGAAAAGAGCTGGGTGCAAAAGTCAAAAGGATGATTGGAGAGGGAAAGTCGTTGCCAGCTGTGCACACCAGGCATACACGACGCAGCATAACGCGTTGACGCTGGCAACCGGGGCAGTCTTGGCACAAACCTGTAGCTGCGCTTGTCGAGACACGGCACGCGATTCGAAGATGGCGAGAATCACGGTGAATCTGTCATACACCGGCAGGCCCCATGACTTTTGCAGAAACTCTTGTTGCCGCGGCGTGAGCCGCGAGGTGTTGATCATGACCACGTCGCAGCCACGTTGCTTAAGCTCGTGTACGCGCGCCGACACCTCGACCAGCTTGCCTTTACCGAAAAAGGTACGCTCACGCAATTCCCGCATGCGCACCACCTCTCCTTCGACAGCTGTAAGACCTATGCATGGTCATTGAGCATGCAGACCGGACCACATGAGCACAGCGCTGCCCCGAACGGCAGAGCCGCCTGCTATCCCTTTATGCTGTCGCTTTGACGAATGGGCCCAGTAAACAACTGACCTTGAACAGCATCAATCAAAGACAAAGATTCTTCCAGCTGCAGCTGTGGCGGACGCACGCCCTGGAGACGAGCATCCTTGAAATCTGGCTGAAGAACAAGGACCTTGGTTGCGTCCTCGGAATTAAAGCCCAGCTCGGCGTGTCGATGAATCTTCTTGCGCAAATTCAGCTGCGGCAACGGCATGTCAGCATCCGCGTCACTCTCGCCATCCGCAACCATGTGCAGGGTCTCGGTTGCTTGACCAGGTGACAAGCGCAATCCTCGCCGCTGCTGGTCTTTGCAGGGCCAAGCAGCCAATGTCACGGGCCGGACATGTCTGATTCTGCCACTGGACCTGACCCCGGCCGCCAAGGGCGCGCGGCCCACTGAGCCGACGAGAACCCCAGCGACTCGCGTCAACATTCTCGACTGTTCCTCGCCTTATCCACAAACTTCAGTCAGGCTGAATGGATACAACGTCCACCCATACTTCACACCCCCCCACACACCTCCCCGAGACAATCGATTGCCAATCTATCTATCTATCGCCCTGGACCCTGTCAACAACACGCACCAGCCACCGCCAAAACAAGAGCGAGAGAGAGAGAGAGAGAGAGAGCGCGAGAGAGCAAGAGAGAGAGAGAGAGAGAGAGAGAGAGAGAGAGAGAGAGAGTTTTGTGAGCACAACACGACGATGTTGTCAGCTTTGGAAATTGATATACCCCTCTTTTTTTAACTTTTGGTCTGGGATGTTGAGGGAAAGGTTAGGGTCGAACGGTATGCAGCGAGTCAATGGGCAGCTTGAGTCGCGACACTACACGGTTGATGTCGTCTCTTGGAAACGTTTAGGCCAGTGCGCTTTTTTTGTTTTATTGTCTGCTTTTCTTTCTAGAGGGAGGGGGAACAGCACCAGCATAAACCCCAACTTGTGCAAGCGCTACCATACCTTCGAGAGTGCAAGATTCAGAGCCCATGACCATGAGATGGCCACGCCCATGCCAAGGGGCTGACCTTCGCATTATCGAGCTTGCTAGCCCGCAGCGTCGGGTTTGGGCACACAGACCGGGCGGGGCCGCCTGAGGTACGGCATCTGGATGGTGAGTGAAATCGTCTTCTGATTCCAAATCTTGATCATGCCACTCCAGATCGGGTTCCATATTATCAAGCAACGCAGGATCGGATGGATGAAACTGACCGTTCAATGTTCAATCGGAGGTTGTCACCCAAGAATAATTCTTATTGAGCATGCATGCATGCATTTACGTGCAAGCTGGGATTCTCAAAAGCAGGCGAGGGACGAGTTGTGCGATTGCTTGATGGGTGGCGGCTCGACATCAGCGACTACAACATGGAGGGTGGTGCTCCCTTTATGCGCAGCAGGTGCGAGCGCTTTGGCTGTAGCCCTCGGCAAGCTTGACACGCTCACAGTTGGTAATCTTCCTTGGCCTATGCGCCATCTTGCACGACGTCGTTTAGAGCGCAAACTTTGTCGAGCAGTACAGTCTCGACGACCGACACGCCGCGCCGGCAGCGCCCACAGCCGTCTCGAGCGGTAAGCTGTGCCTTACCTCTGCCTCAAAGATTGGCGTGTGGCCCGTGCCTACAAGTGTGAACATCTTGTGTAGTCGAGTCGAGGCTGTATTGGCAGAACCATAAGCACGCACGTTCGCACTAAGGGATGGTGACTTTTTTTGCACAGGCCGTGGCTGAAGCTGAGATAAAGGTGCGGAATGAGATTGCTGAGCTTCAAGCCTCCCAAATTGGCATTCTCAAGGACAAAGTGAAGGATCTTCGCGAGGAAAATGACCGACTCGTTACACACATTGGTCTGTACCCAACGGTCGGCTTCGACGCTGACTTAACCTGGACCAATGCCTGATATGCTCAAGCGGTCGCTCTTGGTACTCCTCGCGAGAGCAAGGAAACACTTTTTCACGTCCCCTTGCCCTTGTGTGTGTGGCTTGCTCAGGACGGCTTGAGCGGGAAGTTGGCCAGCTCACGGCCCGTCAACAAGCCACGCGTGGATTGGCGGAAGACGTCGAAGATTTGCGCATGCAGCGCATGCACGCCATTGAGGAGGCCCATGCCTTGCGACAAAAACTAGATCTGACTGAGCTTGATGTACGCAATGATCATGACCCCCCGCCCTTGCCTTGTCGTCCTTCCCAAGCGGCCTAGCACGCGCCCGCTTTCTCTCCTCGGTTAAAGACTCATGTGCTGCTACGGGATTGGTCCGCCATATACAGCTGCGAGACAGCACGCGCCAGAAGCGTGAGCTCGACAGCCAGCTCAAACGAGCCAAACAAGTATGTGATGAATCGGCCCCTTTGGCCTCGCTTTGAAGCCAAACGTCGAAACCAAAGACATGCAACTACTACGTCACGCGGCCGCTGGCCACAACTTCAGCTAGTGACGCGCATACTGATGGTCACGCAATTACATAGTTGCTTCATGAGCAAGAGCAAGTCCTCAAGGGCCAGGGAGGCACGACCTCGTAGGTCTTCAAACCCCGCTCCCATCCCAATCATTATACCTGCTTTGTTTTTCACGCCATCGGGTACCGGGCAGCGATGCGCTTGAAGTGCAGGTCCAAGAAGCAGAGCGGGCCGCACAGCGAGAGCTGGAGCGCCAAATTGCTGAGCTCAAGGTGGGAGTGTGACAATCATCGCGCCGACCCTATTTTTGCATTGTGTCATTTACCCTCTGCTCTGGTACTTGAATGTCATCAGGCTGCTCTGGAGCACTCGCGCACGCAATTGCAGCGATGCCAACGAGAGCGGGATGCATTCAAGGAGGCAGCCCAGCGCGCAGAGCGGACACTGCTTGATCTCAAAGCTCATGACCATGCCCCACCCGCACGCCGTACGTAGCCCTTAGTCATTTTAGCATCGTCTGCCCTTTCGAGCTTCGTCTGGCTCCACTGTATTGTCCTCCCATTCGCGGACAGCAACTCCCTCATCTTGGTTTGCTCAATACCTGGGGCTATTTCGTTGTGTTATTCTCCGGTATAACCTTCTTGATCGGGTCATGATTGTGTTTCGTAGCCAGTTTCGATGGTGAGACGGCAATGGCGGTATGTTTTTTCTTCTCATGAACAAGCCCAGCACAACGGACCATGTGAAATGTGGGGCAATCGCACTATCATTTGGCTGATCTGTGTCATTCGCCGGTCGTCATTAGGTTCGGGCCGAACTCGAGCGCGAGGTGGAGCATCTCAAGGTAAGAAGCAGTTTCTCCACTGGACTAGGTCAAGCGCAACGGCCATGGCTCGTGCTCTGATCCTCGGTTGCTCTGGAGCATCTCACGATTTGGCCCGCTTGTCGTTCGTCGGTCAGAACGAGCTTCGCGTTGAACAGGAACGATCCGATAAGCAGCGCTCTGCACTGCAAGCCGAGCTCGACCGAGTTCGAACGCGAGCCCTGCCGCGTGAAACCGCCATAGCATCCCCTAGTGCAACTCCAGCGCCCTCGGCGGCCACTAAAGGTGAGCTTGCTATTGAAAGTCGTTTCGAATCTCGTTATCCAGGCATGGCTTTGCAGTTTGCCTTTCAAGTTCAAATTTGTACGCTGTACGCTCCGTTCGTGTTGAGCATAGACACTGCAAGTTTGCAGTATGATCTGGATCGGGTAAAGTGCTGCCTGCGCCATGCTTTTGCTGCCTTACCTTTCGATCGGAAGCTACGAGCATGTGTGACTAATGGACTTGATGGTCGGCGCAAACCATGCATCTCATCAACAGAGCCGCCAGCGCGAGTCAGATCTACGTCGTCAGCTAGATGGCCTTCGTGTGCGCATCCCTCCCCAACAGAAACACTGTTTCCCCCTGAACACTCACATATGACTCGACGCTTCCCATTCTCATTTTTTGTTTTCCTCTCTCTTGTCGGACTGTGTGCAGCGGGAAGTGGAACAGCAACGGCGCTTGGCTCGCGAGGATGCTCAGCAAATCGACGCTTTGACGCAGGATGCAAGGCAGCTCAAAACAGAATTAGGTAAACAGAGCCTGTACCCACCTATGGCTTGGTGAACTGGATGTGGCGATCACACCCGCTGGTTGGGTCTCCTTTCCTCGCAGCTCTACAGCAAACACAGTCGACCGGGCCCAATGCCCAGACTGCACAATTGGAAGGTTTGTGAACCATCACTCGGCTTGTAAAGTATGTCAGGGCCATCGATTCTCCTTAGATTCACGTGCAACATGCATGCATGCAGAAGTTCGTCGGTCTCTGGAAGTCCTAGAACAAGCGTATGGTCAACTGGAAGCAGAGCGCGACTCTTTGCGGCGCAAGGTATGCATACTTGACACGGATGTGCGCTGCTAACATCATTTTCCGCCGCGGTGTAGCTGTCGTGTGCGTTTCTCTTGGTTCATGGCTGGTGACTGCAGCTGGACAAAACGACGGATGTGGCAAAAGATAATTTACGTCATCTGGAAGAGTTGCAGCGGCGTGATGAGGACTTTGAAGATTTGCTCCGCCTCAATGACCCCCAACGTGCGTGATTATGACTGATTCGCTCTGAAACGGCGCGTCATAGCATGTGGCGTGTGTTACGACAGGACTGTGCAGAGTGCCAAGCCCTGCCCGCTGCTTGGCGCTGTTGATGCAAACTTGTGGTTTGACTCGCTTGAAAGCAGAGATTTCGCTCTTGCTGCGCTCCCTGCGCCGCAAGTACGGGGCAGATGCGCTTCACGGGTTGGAAGAGGGCGAGGAGGACAGGACCTTGTGGGTGACGGGCGTCAACCTTGATACCCTTCAGGACATTGTAAGCGCTTGTTGTGCCCCTGCATGGACCCGTATCCCCATGTCCAGCAGGGCTGGCTGGAGATGGGATCTTGTCATTGTTTGCACGCCTGACTATGTTTGTTGCTTGATCTGGCGTGTGTGTTTGGCGGGTGGTCTGTAGCATGTGCGCTTGGATCAGTTGCACGAGGCCTGTCTAACGCACGACCAGAAACGCTCCCACGCCCTTGAGCAGGTAGCCCAATGTCTGATGTTTGTGGTACGTCAGGTGATAATGTAGGCAAGAGGTTGCCTTGAGGCACGCAGTGCTACAGCGAGCAAGGTCGCCGCCCTTGTCAGCACTGCAAGATATGGTGCTTGCGGCTTTGCATGGGGTTTGTGTGACCGCGCTGCACTTTGTAGGAAGCCACAGAGGCCGAGCGTGATCGCGTGCTGGATGTGCTACAAGAGTTGGTACCGCCCAGCTCGTCGCTACAGCAGACGGTCAATGCGTTGGTAGACCAATTGGTGTATCTGGAGCGTGAGCTCGATCGGGCCGACGAGGATCGTCGCACCACAGAGGCACGCCTTGCCGGCCTCGTGGCAGCCAACACAGAGAAGCGTCCATGGCGCATTGAGGATGGTATGTTCGTGGGCTTGGAGGGTCTCATATGAGCCGCTTGAATTGGGGTCTCTTGAGAGTGTTCGGAAGCGCACATAATATGATCGCGTTGCACCTTCTTGCTCACTGGGACGGCAACCCTGCGTCATTTCTCAGTAACGCCGGACACGTATGATCTGCTCTTGCGTCGAATCGAGGAGCTAGAGCGTGAGGTGGCCATGCATCGTGCCCAGCAACGCACAACTCGTCCCACACCTGGATATGTCTGAATGACTAGTTGCCACGATCTGTCCCGAATTGAAACCAGGAAGTTATCGGTAGAAACGAAAAACAATTATATTTTCCTATGTTGGAGGTGAAGGTTGAAAACACATTGCATGCAGAACAACAACAACAAGTCACACGGGCACTGCATGTACTCTCTGGTTGGACGAGCATCGATCAGAAGGGTCGAGCACCACAACAACGAGCACAGATCTTATGCTAACAACCAACAAAGCTGAGAAGAGAAATGGGCACAAAATTCGCGGAAAATACTTAAAAATGACACTGTATGTCCCCTATGGAATAGCAACCGCTGGGGACTGACTGCCGGTCATGATGTTCGTTCACAACGTCGTTTCCACTCCAAAATAGTCGTCTCGTTGTGATGGTGTTTGAGACGGGTTTGCACATTCTCCGTGGAAGTTTTAGGGCGAGCCAGTTGCGCCAGGGTCTGCTGGATAGATGGATGCGGGCAGAGATCGACTCCCAAAGTTCGATCATATTTGGGCAAGACAACACCATAGGTTTCGTACGCCGAATGACAAGAACAGTACATTATCAGACAATATAGGTAAGCGATCTCACCTTCAGTCGTATCGAGTTATTGCAGAGAAATATGAAGCTTAAGTCATTACATCATTGCCAAACAAGCTGCATTCGTCACCCAACTTTTCATGTGAGTCATCCTAAACGCGCGTTTTGCTTTCTCTCACTCTCTTCCTGAAGCATTGTCAATCTAAATGCGTGTGTGGGCGTGTGTGGACGTGCTTGCTTGTGGATCAGTTGGCCAAACACTTGCTGGAGGCGGCATTTTTCTTCGTGCCCTCGTGCTTCAGAACACGACAGCAGCTATTTTCCTACCTTGCTCGTTGGTGACGACCTGACAGGATGGTTTGCAAGAGCTCCAAGACGGTGACGGTTCGGGACCCCCCGACCGCGCCCGAGTCTGCCTCGACCACCGAGCCACCAAGCAACGAGCCGCGTCTTCTGCTCGTGGCGTCGGACATTAAGGACAAAATGACCCTGAAGCTCGGCACTCTTCCCAATGTGTTCACGGTCATCTACGACGTCAACAAGGTCTCCCTGGCCGATATCGTGGACCGTGCCGAGGACATCCACAACAACTTTATCACCGTGGGCGTGCTCTGCCACGGAGGCCCCGGTCGCCTGCAGGTCACGCAGAAGGTGGCCATCACTGCCGAGAACTGCGTTACCGATGAGGAGGTCAAAAACTTTTTGTGTGGTCTGGCCAAGTTGACGTCTGAGCGCATTGACATTCTTGGTTGCGACGTGGCAGCGTCACCCGAGGGCAAGAAGATGCTGAAGGATATTGAAGAGCTCACGGGCACGCCAGTGGCTGGATCCGACGACAAGACGAGTGCTGCTGGCGCAGGTGCTGATACGGCCGATGGCAAGGGCGATCTCTTTTTGGAGACGGCTGGCATCGATGTGACCAACCTCTACTTTGATCCCGTCAAGATCAAGGCTTGGAAGGGTGAAGCGCCCATCCCCGCCGTCGTCGGTGTCATGGCCATGGGCTTTGCCAGCGGCGCTGCTTCAGCTGCCGGTGCCAAGGCATGCTCTCTGTTCTGGTAAACGGGGCAAGTGGCTGTATCTTAAACGACTGCAGAGGAGGCCTTGCACTTGCCAGCGTGTGGGTGCGAGTCGTCGCGTATTCGAATGTCATTTCTTTTTGTGTGGGGCCTGGTGCCACCGTAATCGTCCCTTGCTTTTCCGGCTCGTCCGAGTACCTCATGATTTTTCTTGTCAACCATCAATTTATTCCCTTCCATACCCCGTTCCGATACCACGACTGAGCAGAGCCATGCGGCCAGAGCCTACCCGCCCTGCGCAACGTGCAACGTCCCAACCTCCCACATCAGTCCTTAGTAACCAGCCCACCCCAACAGGAAGAAAAAGCTGACATTGTTGACACAGGCAGCGCGCGAGAGAGAAAGCGAGAGAGAGGGCCGAATTGGTTCGAGAAAGAGAGAGAGAGAGAGAAATGGAAAGAGAAATAAAGAGCAAAGAGAGAGAGAGAGAGAGAGAGAGAGAGAGAGAGAGAGGAGAGAGAGAGAGAGAGAGAGGAGAGAGAGCAGCATTTGACTTGATCTTGGCTGCTCACGGGTGCAAGCTCTTTGATTGGCCTGAGTTTGTGGCAGGGCCGGCTGTGGTTTTGAACAACACAAGACATGTCAGCGTGTCAGAGCTCTCGGGCTGTTAAGGTCAAAGCTGCTCCGGAGGCTGGCCCCGAAGACGTGCCGGCCACCAGCCCCAAGCCAGAGTCCAACAGCAATGATCCGCCAGCACTTCAACCTCGCCTGCTCCTGGTGGCCTCGGACATTGAAGATCTCTTCACGCTGAAGCTGGCCACCCTGCCCAACGTGTTCACAGTGATTTACGATGTCGAGCAGGCGACTTTGGAGACCATCCTGATGCGGGTGCAGGAGATGCACATGAAGTTTGCCACCGTGGGGCTGCTCTGCCACGGCGGGCCAGCACGCATACAAATCACCCGCAGCGTTGCCATTACACCACAAAGCGCTGTGGGGGATAAGACCATGGTCAACTTTTTGCGCAGCATGTCCCAGATGATCACCGAGCGACTCGACGTGTTGGGCTGCAACGTGGCCGCAACGGAAGAGGGCCGCCAAATGCTGAAAGACATTGAAGGTCTGATGGGTATTGTGGCGGCGGGCTCAGACGATAAGACCAGTGCCGTTGGCGCCGGTGCTGATACCACGGACGGCCAGGGTGACTTGTTTCTGGAAACGGCCGGCGTTGATGTAACGGAGGATTACTTTGACCCCATCAAAATCAAGGAATGGAAAGGCGTGGCGATCCTGGCCGAAGTCGCCGCCAATGTCATCACCCACGTTATTGTCAGTAGTCTTGTGTGTACTATCTTATAATAGGCCTTCCTCGGGCCTCGTCGTTGCGCTGCTTGTGGGTGAGCCACGTATTATTGTTGTATGCGCCGAGCTGGTCTCTTTCCTCCATCCATGTCCTCTGCATTCAAGCAGATGATGGCAATCGATTTCCAATACATCCTCGTTCGCATGCTAAACGTCAACTCCTCCCTGTCGTCGTGAACATGCTCATCCTCACTCCTAGACATCAGGCACCTCACCCCCTCCCCATTTCGCGCTGCCACAACTGCAGTCAGCTTCACACACACACACACACACACACACACACACACACACACACACACACACACACACACACACACACACACACACACACACACACACACACACACACACACACACACACACACACACACACACACACACACACACACATTCATTTGTCAGCATCACCAACGTTAATATAAACTTACCCCCTTTTACTTCAATCAGTATCCTCCTGCTATTATGAGCATGTCGCCTCGCGCTGGCGCAGCGGCGGCCACGGCTGCCGTCTTCCAGGACTCACAGCTGCGGGATGTGCTGCAAGCGACGGTGAAGCAGCTGTTGCAGCGGCTCTTGGGTAAGCACATTATGTTATTGTGAAGATCTTGGTTTGAATGATCCCATTGGATTTGAGGGGCTTGTTGCGCCACCTGATTCTCGATCCCGGTCTGTCCCGTTCCAGCAACTGGCCCGGTTGTGCTGCGCCATCCTCAAGTCCTCGCTAGCTTGGCCAGCTGGCTGTATGCACTCGCCTCCCTGGCACATCCTTCAGGTCGGTTTTGGTACATTGGCTCGTACACTGCCTGCATGTGCACCACCACAGCTGCAATGCCTCAATGACACCACAACCCACGCTCCACGCTCCAGGTCGCACACCGGGCGAAGTAGCGACCGGCGTGCGCCTGGTAAATCGCCATGGCCATCGTGTGGCACCTCTGGTAAGCCGTGCATACATGGCGCTGCAGCCGGGGAATGCGTGGGCTGGTTGGGTTGAATTCAGACTTGGGGAGGTGCAGCGACTCGTACGTATGGATCTTGATACATGCTTGATGTCTTGACTGTAGGCACGCATGCTTCATGAGACAGTGGTTTGCCTCGTCAAATGCGTGCTTGCCCTCAAAGTTGTGCCACGTCTGAGCACCTACCTGGGTGCGTAGTTAGCTGTGACGTCCAAATGCTACCTTCCACAAGCTACAGAGTACACTGACAGCCATCGCTGGCTTGGACGGGGTGCGGTGCGCAGGAAACTCGCAGTGGCACACGGCCTTCAACGCGGTGCGCGGGCTGTTCGAGCAGCGGGCGCTCTTGGCTCTACTCACTGGTGGTCGCGTCGTTCGCTACTTGCACCTGGTGCTCGGCTGGCGGTATCGCGAGGTATGCTCGCAGCGGTGGCCATCCTGCCTCTGTCCTTTAATGCCGCTTACGCCAGGGCTGGTCTGTTCCTTCTGTTGCAGCTATCAGGTAGTCCCAATTCCTCGGCGCCATGGGCCGACTGGATCTACCGCATTGTCGTGCTTCAACTGCTATGCCGGTCCGTCGCGTATCTTCATCTACCGATCCAAAGCCAGTTTCTCGTCTCGTCACTTGCTTTTGACAAAATGCGTTATCGTCACGACAAACATAGAGCATTGACCCTGGGCCGACTCGCCTTGGCACCCCTCCTGTCTACTCCCTCGCCGGGTGCCTTGTCGCTCAACAATCACGTTATCGAGTACCAATGCTGCCTGTGTCTCGGGTACGCAGATAACATCCGTAGGGGTGGGAAAGGGTTGATGATATTCTGATTTTCCTCGTTGGGCACCCACCCGATTGTGAGTGTCATTCCGTTCAATCTCATCCATGCGGTCAGCCCTAGTCGTGGCGCGCTGGCTACTCGTTGTGGCCACATTGCCTGCAGTGAGTGTCTCCAAGGTTGGCTGGCTTCCCAGTCCACTCAGGTACGATGCACTTCACGTCGGCTCAAGTCCTGTTGCAAGGCACATTGTCGCTGGTCCTTCACTGGCATCAACGATGGTTTGCTTTGCGCCCCCAAACAACAGAATGCCGTGTGCCCGGCTTGTCGCACACCCGTTTGTCCTGCGGACGTCGTTCACCTTCTTGCCCACCCATAGTCCCAGTCTGCCAGCCGCGTTTAGAGAAATTTCTTGGTTGGTTCGGCTAAGCCACAACTAGAAAACAGGCAGATGGAGATCCATGACTCAATTTATTCGGTCCATTTCGGATATGCTCGACAGAGCGCCGAGCCACGTTGGTACATGACGAGGCAGCAACAAAACATGCAATCCCAATTTCAACAACACGGCACAACATCAATAGTTTTGGCTCGTCCTCGAGCCCAGACGCATGACAGGCTGCAGAGCGTTGATGACATCAAGTGTCGATGCTTGACCAGCATGACCATACAATCACTCGAAAGCAGCACATGGCAAGGAAGGCAGAACTGGTTCACGGCAGCACTTGCACTACTTGGCCATCAGATCGCGATGTTGAGCTTCACGTACACGCATGACATAGGGTTGCGCCTCCTGCACGACGATTCAATTCAGCAAGCAGCCCCGCCCCCCAAAAAGCTCGTGAGACAAAGCGGTGATACACGAAGAAGACTCTGGTTCCATTTTAAAATTAGCACTTACCGCCAACCGGCCTTGCTGCTGCAAGCAGATGGCATACGCTTCATATGTCTGCACAGTCTCTGGATGATGTTGCCCGAAACGGCGCTCGCGAAACTGCCGGATCAACGAGAAACCATCAGCTGTTGTCGCTGCCACGCGACAGCGCAATACAGGTCGCAACAAGCAGGCCGAGACACAGTTGGCGCTGTGCATGCGTGCGTCGCAAAAAAAAATGACCTTTGACATACCGCCATGACTTCTTGCAGAAGCGTGTGTGCTTCAGCTAGACGACGATCGTCAATCAAAAAGCACGCTTTGTTGTGCTTGGCAGACGCCACGCGAGCTGCTCGTGTATGGTGAGGTCCAGCAAAAAAAAAAAAAACCCATGAGATTGGCCCCACACGTGACCAAGGATCGTATGTCTGATCACGCAAAAGTCTTTCAATACATGCAAGCGCATCACATACCTTCTTTGTCGCCCGTGGTCATGCTCGAAGCTGCCTTGATGCTTTCATCAATGCGTTGGTATGCTTCGTCCGAGCTAAAGGCAATCGTCGCATCGTCAACCAAATAGAATGCAGAAGAAAGCGACGCAGCGCGAAACCCCGAGCTATACTGCAAGTCGACGACCGTCTGTCGTACCGATCGCAGCGTCGTAGGGCTTCAGCCATGTTGGCCAAAATTGTTACTACGTCGTCCTCATTATCGTCAGTACCTTCGTTGAGCTGGGCAATTTCCAATGAACGCTCCAGCAGCGGCAGAGCCTCAGCCGCCCGGTTCATGCTGGACATGTGGGTAACCATGAGGTACAACCCAGCCAGGTTGTTCATGGCCATGCCTACCAGCGCGTGACGTGCTAAATGCCCAAGGTTCACCGGTGAGCAAGGTAATCATAGGGCGGTTGGGTAACGCAGACAATCGCCAACATCTTGCGTCCATACAGATGATGCAACCTACCGCCAAGCAGCCGCTGCCTCGTATTGATGCACTCAGCAAACAGGGTTTCTGCCCGGGTAAAGTTGCCTAACACATGGGACAAGACCAAAGCAGTGTGAGCTCAAATAGCAGCCAGCAGTGCGGAGTTAAGAAGACCAGGTAGGCGCCGATCCACGGGTTGCACTCACCAGTGCGCAAGACGATGGAAGCCAAGTTGTTCTTCATGGTGGCCACCGTCTCATTTTCGTCGCCAAACTCTTGATGGGCCAACTGTAGAGCTTGCTCCAAGTAGGGCATGGCTTGTGGGATCTGGCCAAGGTTGGAAAGTGCCTCCGCAAGGGTGCTCATGCTGGTCGTGAGGGCAGAAATGCGCTCACGACCCGACAAGCCCTCACACATGGGCATGACGGCCTGCATAATCTGGATGACGGAGCTCATGTCACCAATCTTCATGTGAATCGAGGCCTGGAACTGGCGCATGACCACACTCAGGCTATAACAGGTGCGAAACCCGCATTGAGGATGAAGCCCAAGCAACGGCAGCCTTTCTGCTGTGCCACGGAGAAACACAACTACGCACATGCACACACACACACACACACACACACAGACACAAGTACAAACACAAACACAAACGGAAACACACAAACATCCCAAAGACAAACAAACGAACGACCAAACAAACAAACAAACAAACGCAAGTCTAAGCGAGCAGCCAAATGCACAGGGCGGAATCAGACGTACTGCACACCCACACGGGCCTTGTCACATTCCTGCACGGCTTCGGCCGCTAAGCGCACGGCTTCCTGAGCATTGCCGCTAGTTGGGGGAAACCGATCAGGCAAACAAGATTAGAAATCATGCTGGCTCAGCTACCACTACCAATCAAGGCAGTGCGCCAAGAGAGAGAGAGAGAGAGAGAGAGAGAGAGAGAGAGAGAGAGAGAGAGAGAGAGAGAGAGAGAGAGAGAGAGAGAGAGAGAGAGAGAGAGAAAAGAGAGAAGAAAGAGGTTTTGAGCGCCAATCGAGCAATAAGCCCGGCCACATACCTGGACAAGGCACCAATGGCCTTCATCCGCAGCATGTCGTGCTTGAAGATGACCTTGTCTGGGCGCAGCTCACGCATTTGGTTGAGGCTATCCACAACCCAGGAGGTCTCTGTGTGCAGGCCATTGTTGACCACCATGAGATTCATGGCGCTCAGACAGCCCATCAAAATGTCTTGCTCTTCGCGCTCCAGAGTCGCCGCAGCCTTGAGTTGCTCATCCAACTTGGCTCGCATCCTGTTGATTAGCAATAGCAGGCAAATTAGTATTGCTGAGCAAGAAAGCAGGGATCTCATGGCAGTTGTGATTCTGTGTGTGTGCGGTCAAGTGCGCACACCCTCGATCGTCCTTTCTCTTGCAAGCCAGCCAAGCGTAGTAACATATGAGTTCTCAATGGCGCGGAACACACATACCCGCGGATGACATTCAAAATACCATCGTCCAAGTAGCTACAGTAGGCAGCAAAGGTGAGCGCGTAAAGGTTGGCGCCGCGTGAAGTGGCGTCAGCGTTGTAAAACGTGACCACATAGGGCTCGCTGAGGTAGTTCGTCAAGCGGTCTAGCTGCTTGGAGCGCAGCAGATGGTACGGCAGCTCGGCCATTTTGCGGAAGTTGGGATCCAAGGGCACTGAATTCTTGAATGACACGCCTATTCATCACCAACCATGGCCAAGCAAGTCATCGATGAGGGATAAACGGCACGATCAACGTGGTTTCACCGCAAAGTCTTTGCCAAAAGTCAAACAGCGGGTACGTACGCAATGTCAACAAGTCAGGCATCGAAGCCACGCGTCGATCTTCCAAGCCTTCTTTGCCAGCCTTGGAGATGTACGGCTTTGGCGTCTCGTGCCAGCAGCCTTCAAAATATTCAGCCATTCGGGCATGGAGGTCGGCGACCGCATCATTGACCTTATTGACCTTGAACACGTCCTCGTCAAAGTCATCAAGGCGGAAATTTGCTTCGCGTTGAATCTCTTGCTAAGAGTTGGTGTCAAAGCAGCGCAGTCGTTGATCAAAGGTACGTGAGCACTCGTGAGAGGAATCCGAGGAAAAAAATAAAATAAACAAATAAAATAAAAAAATCAAGGAGAACGGATGTTGAGCAAGGTTGAGCGTACCATGAATGTTTCGAGGGTCGGTGGCAGCCCGAATGGGTCTTGCTCCATATCCTGCTGACAGTAGCGCTTCAAAAAGTATGATTCGAGGCCTCGGTGCGACCAGCGGAGTAGATGGGCGCCGCGATGGGCCACGGTGCTGAGCAACGCCTCAAGGTCACGGCGCAAGCGAATCCACAACAGCGGCGGGCAGCGGCGGATGGGTGGCGTCCAGTATTGGAAGACATCGTTCAGGACGTCATCATCAAGGGAAAGCATGTCTTCCAGCTCACCTTCGGTTACGCCCTCACGTGAAAGAGTGACGTAGCCTAGGGCCTGACGTACGAGCCAGTGACCATGAACACGTTCAAGGCGATCAAAGATTTGGTTGAACAGCCCCTCGACGGTAGAGGCAAGCTCAATCTGGGCCTCCTCCGTGCTGTATGAGCGCCAGCGCCGCACGATCATGGCCAGCAGAGCAACAAGCAAGGGCGTGCGCGCAGGAGCAGCGCTTAGAGCCACGCGACATTGGTCAAGTTGACTGGGCGTCAAGCTACGCGCGCCCAACATCGCTTGCAGCATGGCCACGCTTTGGTCGACAGTTGGCTGCTCCAAAAACACTTCGGCCATCCGTGACATGGCAGTACCCTGCACACGGTTGTGCAAATCGCGAGCGAGTGCAATGGACTGCGTGTTGCAAGTCACAATGACGCGCACGTGACTGGGCAGGTGCACGGGCAACCAGGCCGTCACGTCGCCGTTTGCCACACGCCGCCAGCGATCAACACCGTCTAGAATTACCACGATGGGGGTCTTCGGGTCCGAGGTCATCAGCTGTGAAACAAAGGCGTCCAACAGAGCCTTGGGTTCCTTGGGCACTGATACTGCCTGCTTCTGCGCCGTGTTCAGTTGGCGCATCAGGGACCGATACGTGACAAGAAGGTCGCTGGAACTCGTCGTGAGACCACAAACACGCCCCAGCACGATGGCGTCCTCGCCAAAAACTTCACGCACAAGGGTGGTTGCGGTGTAGCCAGCCAGCACAGACTTGCCGCTGCCACCATTACCGAACAGAAGCAAAGGTAAACCAGAGTGCGTGCGAAGATAAGCGTTGACTTGCTGTTTCTGTCGCTCAAAGCTGGTCATACGCTGTCCCTGGTCACGAAGATGCATGTTGTGTGTTAGGACATCGTGAAGGAAGGGGTTGCTAAACAGCTCACCCTCCTGTCGAGCCAACGCCGCCTTGGAGGAAGCCACCAATTCAGTCTCAAAGTCCCGGATAAACTGGTTGAGGTAGGCCACGTGCTCCTTTTTGGTGGGGTTGATGCCGGCCTTGGCCGCAAAGTCCACGTCGTACTCGCGGATCAAGTCGGGGCCCAGTGCCGCCGGCAATTCTTTTTCGCGCAGCTGGGCCAGTAGGTCTCGGGCCTCTGGGTCCTGCTCATATTTGCCCCAGGTCAAGTCTGTAAATTTGCGTACCTCGGGGTCCTTCCGCTTGATGGCAGCTGGGAGGTCACGAATATTGCGCTTGAACCAGAAGCAAGTACGGGCGCGTTGATCCTCCGGCACGTGAAGGATGCCACGGCGAATTTCCTCTTCTGTGACGGACTGAATGAAAGAGTTGCGCTTGAAGGTGGTGTCGGCATCATCACCCACAAATACGGCCTTGGCGGCAGCGCGCAAATGGGCCGTGAGAGTTTCAAACACGTCCCACCATTCACTGCGAGCGGGGCCTCGTAGCTCGTTGTCCTCAGACAGGTAATTGGGAATGAGTTCGGGGATGGGCAGCAAGATGTACGAGGGCGGGGAGCAATTCTCATCGAGGCGGAACCACTTGTCCACCAAGGACCCAGCTTTGGGATCTGTGATGGCTTGGCGCAGACGCACAAAGTCATCTGCCTCAATGATGGCAGGGAAAGGTCGGTAGCCGTAGCGCTGGGACAGGAAGGTGACAAAGTTCAAACCCATACTCACACGCTGGCACTCGCGCAGCTCTTGCATGCAGATGATGGACGTTTGGTGATCTGCCGTGGACTCGTCGCGGATGCCCCAACTGAGGGCCGTGATACAGCAGAAGTCAGTCAGCTTTGGCACAGCACCATGCCCATCATGTCAACCGCCGTTCACGTGATGCCAAGCTCATGAAACTCACCGCATGTCAACGACTTGAAATTCAAGACCAAGGGCTCGAAGGGCGTCACGTACGCGGGGGTAAGCTTCTGCCATAAGCTTATCGCGCTCCACTTTCAAGTCATCAAAGGTCGAAGAGGTGAAGATGCGCACCACCTAACGGGTACAGGCAGAACACAGCGCCAATGAGATGAGCTGTCCGGATGCATCGTGACTTGACTGAAGCGCAGTTTCAACGAGAAAAAGCAACAAAAAACAAAACAAAAAAACAAACAAACAAGCAAACAAAGAAACAGTCAAGAAACCAAGCATCTCAACGACACCAGCGAACAAAAATCGACAGGCGTTTTCGTGCCAAATACGAGATCGCACATTTGAGGGCAGAGATGTTGTAGGGACCTGGCCTTTGACGCTGGCAAGAGCCAAAGGGTGGGGCCGTGTGGCGGAAAACTCCTCGCTCAGCACTTCAGCTTGCGATTCATCTTCCATGAGAACCGGATTGTCAACCACGAACTGGCGGCGCATCTCGAGTTCCTCGACATCACTGGCTGCACTAGGACCAGTGCGTTTTTTCATGTGTTCAATCACGCAATCAAAAGACTTGAGCAGTTGGAAGTGGAGGCGTTCACGGCACAGCATGGTGAGGTAAGAAAAATCTTCCAGCTGCTTGCGAGCTTGATCCACCTCGCCTAATGAGGTCGCACGACGCAGGACGGAGGGTCAATTTGGCATTCGCGTTGGATTTGTTAGACAAAGGCCAGAGGGGCAGGTTAGGGCACAAGACGCAGTCAAATGCGTGTGCATACCGGCATCAGCAATCCAAGCGAAAACGTCCGCAGCAAAAGTCACGATCATCTTGTTGGCATGAACATAGCGAATGACGGCATGAGACAGAGCGATGATGCGCTCGTTTTCATGTGCCTGACGCTCAGGCACAACACTATAAAACGCGCGCATTCAATCAGATATTAGGCAAATAACTGAGCAAACAAGCGAGCGTTGTTCGAGGTTCGCATAGATGGCAAAGGCTGATACGAACAGGCTTTGTAGCGCTTGGGATATAATTTCGCTCACGACCATGACCTTGCCATGGGGGTTCAGCTTGCAGTTGACCACCGAGCCCTTCAGATCCTCCAAGAGAGCATTCAGCTGCAACAAAGCACGCGTTGAGCCCACACACCTTTTTCGATCGTGATCATGGCGGTGGAATTATCGCTTCGTACCTCGTCTGCAGAAAATTCGCGACCCCGCAGCGTCTCTTGATGCAGGTTGAGCATGGTCAAGAGCTGTTCGGGAAGGATGCGCAATCCAGTTTGGCGGATGTACAAGAAGACTTGGTCCACCAAATCTAACAGACGCAGCCGGCACGCATGACAGCTCGCAAGAGTGCAAATGCACACCATTGATGGGGAAGGCAGGGCGGCACAGGGCCTTCCTTTTTATTCCATTCCCTCCCATTCTTTTCCCATCACATTACATGTAACGTACCTGCGGCATGCTTGGCTTGTCCAAGAACAACTTGCAACGCTTGCAGAGCCGTCGGTAGATCCTTGACTGACTTGAGCGTATCGGCTGGGGAGGCCTTGGTTTTGGCTGCTGCCAGCGCAGCAGCAGCAATGGCAACTCGAATGTAGAGAACAGGCCCATCAGGCAGCTTAGAAACGGCGGCCCGCACGCTCTCCACCTTAACTCCTTGCGCGGAGGGCATGTCAGCAATTACTGCCGAACACAGATCAACCGCTTTGACGAGGGGTGTGCGAAGCACAACGGTATCCGGGTTGCGTGCCTAGTGTACGACAAACAGAAACAAGATGAGTTGAGCTGAGGCCCTAAGCGACATTGTGGACCCACATACCACAAAGCCTGGCACGCTGTCTTCATCCAGAACCCAAATGTTTCTGAGATTGGACAACGGATGCCCTGGCTTGAAGTCATCAACTTCATAGTTGGGTGGAGTGTCCAACTGCTCAAGGCCACCCATGACCAGCAGCACACTGTGCATACGAGGGTTCACACCCGTGAGGTTGGTGCCAACAGTCTCATCGCAAGTCTCAAACGATCACAAACAGGCATGTCCAGGATACGCAGCACACCCAGAGTATGCATCTTACTGTGACTTCCGTTGCTTCATGAAAAACTCAGTCAACTTGGTCTGTTGGGATGGTGAACAACGGTGAGCCTTGGGCAACGCAGTAGTGCCAATGGGGGCTCAAAAGAATACCTGCAAATGTTCCTTGGTGCATTCCAGATCGGCCTTGTCATAGTGAACGGCCTGATGGTTGGTGTTGCCGCTCATGACATTGTAGTAGTGGTAGAAGGCTTGCATGACATGGCCAATGTGCGTCACGTCACGCGTGTGATAAAGCACCGTTTGTGGAGAGGCAGGCATGCCAAAGAACGGCTGAAAGGCACGAGGCGAGAATGTTGGAGGAAAGATGGCGCCATGAACCATGGGTGATGAGTGTTTGCACTGGGCGAGAAAGACCAAAAGCGTGCTTTCCGCCACCACGCAATTTCTGCTCAGCAAGGCGATAAAAGAGAAGATTGCAAGATGATTCAACAAACGAACCGGGGCTTCGGAAATCTTGTCGCACAGGACATTGATGATATCACGAGTAAACTTGACCGTGTGGCAAATCATCTGTCAAGGCAGCGATGGTGGGTTTGAGCTTCAAATTGCAGACTCTGCTGGTATGGGCAGGGGAAAGGAGTAGGGGCGTGGCCCTACCGAGGATGCACCGCAAGCAGCTGTCAAATGTGGAATTGCGCCCAGCCAATTTTGAAGGGGGGGCATGGCTTGGCCCACCACGCTGGTTAGGGTTGCATCGCCATCACCGTGCGGCTGGCAAAGACACAATCCTTCAGCAGACATGGGAACACCTGTGATGGAGGCCAAGAGTCCAGTTTAGACATACTCGAACTGTGAAGGGCTGTGAAGGGGTTTGAGGGAAACAACGAGGCGAAGCGTGGATGTGCCAACGAACCCGAAATGCCACAGCAAGCGCATTGGATGATGGCAGACTGCACTTCCTGCTGGCCTTGGTGCTTGTCAAACATGTCCTGCTCACGTGCAAGACAAGTCGCGGTTTAGTCAGACCTCGGGCTTGGGTCAAACAAAAAGTGACAGCGGGACACATGATATTGGCTTTGTCGACTTGTGTGTTTTGTGAAACCAGGAGTGACGCACCTTCACAGACTTGGCTTCGTCCTCGGAAAAGTTGAACCAGATGACTTGGGTGTTTTTTCCTTTGCAAAAGGTGCAGGGCTACGACCAACGACACGATGAACGTGGCATGACAGACAACCGCCCATAAGATGCAATGCATACAGCAACACACAATCGCCGAGCCCTTTCATTGTTGTGAATGAACGCACATCTTGATCACCAATCGTGGTGCCACTGGTGGTGGCGGCTCGTCCGTCATCCTGCGCGCGGCCGAAGAACTCGTTTCCGGCGGAGAAACGGGCATGATAGCATTTGTCACATCGCAAAAATGCAATTCGACGAAAGCCTGGCAGAGGCTTGCAGAGCTGACGAGCGCTCAACGCAAGGCATCGTGAGGCAGATCGCGCTGCCTGTGGTGAGGCGACGTGGAGCAGCGTGCATGTGGGCAAACGGACCTGGGGAGCCGAGCTCTTGGCACCCTCACGAAGCATCAACGACAACGTCTGTCGACCACTTCCACTACAACCAGTAACGAAAAGATGAAAACAAACACACATGAGCGGTCAGCCACACGCATAAAGCCACTTTGTCGAGTAGGAGTGGTCTTTGTCAGCAAACAGACTTCAACGTACGGTGGTCCAGTGATGACAATATGCCGAATGTTGCCATCAATAGCAGCGGCGAAAAGGTCATCCATGACCTTGTCGAACCCGACCACACGTCCAGGGAGGTGGCTATGACGATCCGCCATGTCCAGGTTCGTGGGGCGCCATTTGGCAGCCGCGATCAGGTTGTCGCGCAAGGCCCTGTCCATGGGTGCAGGAGCCGCCGACGGAGCCGCCGATGTAGGCGTGGCAGTGGAGGTAGGAGCGGTGTCGTTGGTCCGAGAAGTTGGCGCCACGGCAGCAGGCATGGGGCGGTCGACCTTGTGGGCGCGCAGCTCTGCGCAGGCTCGTTCGATGGCAGCCTTCCAGGCTGCACGATCTTCGACGCTGGTGAAGCGAAAGACGTACACGCGGTTGGGAACGGCTACGTGTAAGCCGATCGAGGCCTTGGCAGAACTTATTTCACTGACTTCGTACACGCCGGCCAGGCCTGCATGGGTCGCGGGTTAAGTTTGACAGGTTGCAGGTGAGTCGGAGTCGCTGGCTGTTTGTACAGAGCGAGAGCGGCACACACGCAACGGACCAATCACGCCTTTGGCAACGCGGCCCGATTTGTCAGCATAGTAGGCCAGCGTTTTGGGCCGCAACACAAACCAACGTCGACGCCAAGTTTTCATGACGCCGCCCTATGTACAGTCGAATCAAGGCCGTAGTATAGGAGTGGGAAAGAGCAAGGAGCTTGCAGGGAAAAAAAACCGATGTCGACGTGTGAAACGTGTTGGAGGATTGGGTTTGACCGACCTGCTTTTCAATTTCGCCCTGCTTGAGAGTTGTGTTGCTCTTGGGGTCAGGCTTGACCAGCACTGAGGCAAGTCGCCCACGGGAGGGACCGGCATTGGCGGAATCTAGCCGCAATGCCAAAGCGAGGAAGTGCGTGAATACAAGAAAATATACAAGAAAATAAAGAAAGGTAGCATGAGCCTAGGTGTGGCTTGCCCGGATCAAAGGGGTCATACCAGCGACCATCTGGGACGGCGGCATGGCAGGGGCGACCTGAGCTGAGACAGCTCCGCCATTTTGTTGCATCTGGGCAAGCATGGCCATGGCATTGTCTGAGCCGGCTGGTTGCGCACCGCCGGCTTGGCCTTGCAGTTGACCCATGAGGGCCATGGCATCAGCAGGGCTCATGGCTACGGCAGCGCCGCCTTGGGCGGCAGCGCCTTGTAGCTGCGCCATCACACCTCCCAGACCACCTACCCCAGGTGGCAGCCCCACAAGCGCAAGCAGGCCAAGTCAGGAGAAGGAAGGAGGGAGGGAAGTGTTGGACGTAAGTGTTGTGTTGATTGTAGCAAGGGTTGCTACTGAATTGGCGAGGCGTGAAAAACGCACCTGCACCGCCACCGGCCCCACCTTGCATGGCGCCCATGAGTTGCTGCAGTTGTGCCATACCGCCACCTACATGGGGCGCAAAGCATTGAGAACGTGGTGGGCGGGGCACCAAATAAAGAAACTCCGCAGGTGAGCAAGCTTACCAGCGCCACCACCGCCTTGCATGGCGCCCATCAGCTGTTGAAGCTGTGCCATGCCACCCTGGGCACCGCCTGTCAGTATTCGGAAACATTGGTGATGAGTGCCAGCTTCAAGGGCACAAGCCGCAAAGCCGCAAAACCGAATCTGGCTGGAAAGAGCCGTGTCAGCCCCGTTGCATGCGTACCAGCACCTTGCAGGGCCCCCATGAGCTGCTGGAGCTGTCCCATGCCACCCTGAGCACCACCTGGCACAAGATTGGGCAATGGGGCACAAGATCACAGCAGTCAGGGTGGTCGTGTGTCAGTGTCGAGATGATCGCATCTTGCAGGCATGCTCGGTCATGTGTGACGACTTACCGCCAGCTCCTTGCTGGAAAGCCTGTACGGCTTGCATGGCCTGCATAAGGCCACCCATGCTGGGCAATTGGCCCGGCATGACCATGCCCGGTAGCTGCGCCATGATGGAGAGATCTCAGCCTCTCCCGAGCCCTAAAAATTTCAGTCTCAGCCCCTCTTTTCTTTTCCACACACACGCACTCATGCACAGTCAAAGGGGGGTGCCCTATATGGCGCCGCATCCATACAGTCGACACAGCAATGAGCGAAGGGCTGGAAGCTGAACCAAGCCGAACAAAGCAAAGGAACCCCTCCTCCCCCCCTTCCACCGCCTCTTTCAAGCATCAGGCGCCGTTCGATCAGACCTTTGTACACTGTCAGTCACAGAGAGAGAGAGAGAGAGAGAGCGAGCGAAAGAGAGAGAGAGAGAGAGAGAGAGAGAGATCAAGAGAGAGAGAGATCAAGAGAGAGATCAAGAGAGAGAGAGAGAGATCAATCAAGAGAGAGAGATCAAGAGAGAGAGAGATGAGAGAAAGATCAAGAGAGAGAGAGAGATCAAGAGAGAGAGAGAAAGAGAGAGAAAGATCAAGAGAGAGAGAGAGAGAAAGATCAAGAGAGAGAGAGAGAAAAAGAGAGAAAGAGAGAGAGAGAGAGAGAGAGAGAGAAAACCCAACCAACAAGGGATCCAGACTGGATTTCATCACTGTCTGACAATGTTAAATGTAAGACGTTTCAGTTTCATTCAGTCTGACTTTCACACACTTTCTCTCTCTCTCACTCTCGCTCTCTCACTCTCTCTCTCGCCGGTGAGATCGCGGTGTGTGCGCCTGGTGGCGGGTGTTCAGGGGGCGGGGGGAGCATGAAGCTGGCAAGGTGGCTTGGCATCGTCCTTGTCGTCGTTGTTGCCAGGGCCGGTTTCCGCTGTCTTTGGACACGCTTTTGCGTGTTGATTGTTGTCGGTGTTGTTCTGATCGTCCGAGTGACTTGATCCGCGCTGCTTCCAAGAGAGACCTCATTCCATGCCTGCCACATCCGCCTCACACCTGTTGTTGCGGGGTCGGTCTGAAATAACACTGCACTGATCGCCTACTAGAGATCCGTTGCCGCCAAAGCCAGTGCTATTCACGGGCAGTGGGCTCCGGGTCTTTCCGGCATGGCCGCCCACCTGAATTTGCTGCGCGAGCAGCATCGCAAGCTTCAGGTTGGCTCGACCCTTGAACCTGATTGTGCAACTCGTCTTTTGTTCGCTCGGGCATTTGAGTTGAGCTGCGGGGGCTGCACTCCTTCATCTTAAAATTACCCAGCTCATGCCGGCATGTATTTTTCTTGGTGCTTGACTCATATGTGACGTCCTCAGACACACTGTCTTGAGCTGGAAAAACGGCTATCGGCATATGAGAGCGATGGTCAAGGCCAGGCGCTCCTGACCTCATCACGCTCAGCCATCCTGGCTCTCACCGCGCAGCTCTTTGATGCAGACCGTTTCAGGTCTGAAGGCGTACCGATCCTGTATTTTGCCCTCAATTCTCGGCCCTGATGTGCACTAGTTTGAGCCGAAGTCCGGCTTTTCGACGCAGCTGTTGTCATTCCCACTGATTTCTGGCGCTTGACAATAGTGATTTGACAATCTCCATTGCTGGACGAAGCATCAAGGCGCATCGCTTTGTTCTGGCCAGCCGCGGCAAATGGCCCGTGACTGATTTGGCCGCCACCAGCGCCTTGGAACTACCCCGTCTCAGGTAAATCGCCCGCCGATCAGCAACTGCTTCACGTGAAAATCACACGGCATCCCTATTTCGTTCTCATTTCTGATCCCGCTTGATCCCCCCAAAAAACAACCAAACTGATTCAGTTGGACCGTGGGCCAAGCCATGGTTCGATTTTTGTACACGGATGAGATTGCGGGCTTGTCAGACACGCTCGATGACCGACTCGCCCTCCTCGAAGCTGCCAACGCCCATGAGCTTCCGTTTCTACTACGTCGGTATGTCAAAGTCCTGATGGGGCCTTGGCCTCGGTCTCGTACACTTTGTTATTATAAAAACGCTTGCCCCTCTTGTCACACTTGCGCCCCCACCCTCCCTTGTATACTTTACGTCTGATGCCTCACCCCTGGCTTCACTCTTTCTTTAGCTGTGAAAACTTGGTGGTGGATCAAGTCTGTCTCAACAATTGCGTTGCAATTCTCAACGCTGCCCATCGCGTCAATGCTGCGGAACTCAAGCAGGTACACGAGGCGAGACTGTCCCGTGTTCCCGATTGCCAGCCCGTCAAAAGGAAAAGAGATAGGTCCAGAAGGAATGCCGGATCGTGACATCTCTGATATCATTGTCTTCTCGATTGGCACCCACTACGATCCAGTATACCATAGAGTACATGGCCAACGAATGGGATGATCTGCGCCCAGAGCAGTTTGCGGACTTGGAGGCGTCATTGCTATATGATCTGGTATGCAGGGTCTTTGTCCGAAGGCTTGCTACTGCTATCGCCCTTTTCCGTTGCCGCTTCTGCTTTGTGAGGTATCATCATGCTCTTCTTCATCTTGGCGTCGCTCACCCTGAGCTGTGGCTGGTGTTTGATGTTCTCAAAGATCAAACGCAAGACAACCTATCCACTGCACCTTGCTGTGCAGCTACAGCGGGAAGATGTCGTGTTTCTCTATCTGGTTGAGAACGATTTGGATCTGCGCTCAAAAATTAACGAGGTCCGAGCTCCTCGAGCGCGTTGCGCGCCCAGCAAGCGCCCACACATCTTGGCATTGCACGTTGCCTTGAGCGCACGCACGGTCATTTAGCATGCCCTGTTCTCTTTGCCACGCCGTTTGTCTCCTCACGCAGTGCAACGATCAAGGCACGGTGCCCCTCAAACTGGCGCTGGATTTGCGAAACACGGCTATTGCCACGACCCTGGTGCAACACAACGCCGACGTCAACGCCAAGGGTGAGTTTGCCAACCTAAAATTCATTGGCCTCCTCTCAAGGAACAGAGTAGCATGTCCTGTTACGGCTCAATCCGTTGTTGTCCTTCCCCCCGCCCCCTTCCCCCGAGAATAGACGAGGATGACGTTCGTCACCTGCTGCACTCGTGCATTGAAGAGCAAAACGAAACGGCAGCCTTGTTCCTCATTGAGGTTAGTCACCATACATGATAGTGCCTGCATGCACCTGCTGTCTTGATCTATCTGATTCAAAACAAATGTCTCAACCCTGTTCTAGAACAATGCGGATCCTCGCGTGACCACCGCGGTTGCCCAAGCAACACCCTTGCACTGTGCAGCTCTTGCAGACTCTGCCGCTGTCACTGCTGCCTTACTCAAGCGTCGTGTGGATGTCAACGCTCGCGACCATCAAGGCGATACGCCCAGTCATTGTGCTATCCGCCAGAAGCATGCCAAGGTCGTTGATCTTCTGCTTTCAGCTCCGGGCGTCGACGTTAATATCACCAACAATGAGGTGGGCTTGGTGGCCATGGTACCCCGCCCTGGCTTATACCGCCCTTGGTCACTCACATCCTACCATGCATTCATGCTGTCGCGATGATGATATGTCCGCATAGGGCCACACACCGTTGTGGCTCGCCCTTGGCTTTGAGGATCAGCGTTACGCCCAACAGCTTGTGGACCGTGGTTGCGATGTTAATCTCCAATCCGTGACTGGTGACACCATGCTCCATGATGCCATCTAGTACGTGCACCGGAGCATCTCGTTCGCCACCAATTTTGACCTGGGCAAAATAGCTTCTCCACCTCACGCACTGCTCGGGGATGTATCTCATCCTACTTTGTAGCAAGGACCACACTGCCGCCGCCCTGTTCTTGATCGATCACAACTGCAATGTTCATTTGACCAACCAGAATGATGTGACACCCCTGCACGCAGCCTGTGCAAACGGCAATCAAGTTGTGGTACGTCTCATGTGCTCGCCACGTTCAACCTCTCCGTCGCCCACTTGTTTTTCAGCTCACATGCCAATGGTTCATGCTGTTTATGCTGCTTTCGTCTTTTCTCCCAGTGCGAAAGTCTGCTCAAGCGACATTCAAACGTGAATGCCCGGAATAAGGAGGGCAACACCCCCCTCATGACAGCTGTGATTGCGGCCAAGCCAGAATGGGGTACGGCAGACTGACGCGTGTTTTGAGACTTTGCACATGCTATTTGGGCTTGTCCCTCTGTTTCTTTGGATTTCGAAAAAGAGCTTGCCGACGCGTTCTATTCTTTACAAAGGCTTCTCTTGGCATGACACCACGTCACTTTGTAGGCACCAAGCTGGTGGAGACGCTATTGGCACAGCCCAGCTTGGATGTAAACCTGGTCAACTATGAAGGGCGCTCAGCTTTGGCCTTGGCCTTGGCCAATGAAGACAGTATCGATGTTATTGGGCCCCTCCTGCTCCAAGCAGAAGCAGGTCCGATTGTTGGTCGAACGACCGGTCCGCTCTTCTCAGTGATTAATCAAGCGAGCACGATGTGTCTTTACCAGCTTGAGCTCATCTTTCTGCCCCGCTCGTGCATACATGTTGTGCCATCGTCGCATCTTTCTTTTAGATGCCGAGCTGGTCATGCCTGATGGATATAACCTGCTGCAAACAGCCATCTTGGCAAATAACACCAAGGCAGCAACTCTTCTGATCCGCAAACCCGTCCAGGTGGATATACCGACGCCAGATGGTCGTCCACCCTTGTTGGTAGGTAGTTTGGCCTGGGTTTACTATAGTAGCCATGCCCAGGAGCAACAACAATGGCTTTGGTCAATCAGCGAACGTTCAGAGCGCATCACGCTTCACATTGCGCAGGTCTCACCCGCACATTCACGGCTCATCCTCATCCTTGCGCGTGCGCGGTCTGTGGTGATAGCTGGCCGTAGAACAGCACAGCCTGGCCCTGCTTCACGAGTTGTGCCGAGCGGGCTGCAATGTGTACGCTGTGGATACCATGGACAACTATGCCATGTGGAGTGCGCTGAGCATGGAAAAGCACGACTTGGCCCGTGCTCTGATAGAGCATGGCTTTGACGTCAATTGCCTGCAGGTGGCCAAGCACATGACTTTATTGCATCAAGCCGTGTCTGATCTCAACATTTCCATTGTATCGGCGTTGCTCGCTTTGGGCGCTGATGTGAACGGCCGTCGCGACGATGATGACGGCACACCTTTGCACATGGCTGCGGCTATTGGCGCCGATGCCAACGAAATCATCCGCACGCTTATCCAGCGCGGCGCCGATGTCAATGCGCAAGATCGTGCCCAGGAGACCCCCCTGCACCGGTAGGTCTTTGGTGTGGCTTGGACTTGCTGGCTCCATGCGCGTGTGTGCGTGTGCGCCAAGAGCTTATTTTTCTCGCTTCACAACCTACCCGACTTGTTCCTTATCGCTGATATAATGGTTCAATAGAGCCATCTATGCCCAACAAGAGCCTGTCGCCATGAAGTTGCTTGGGCTCAAGGACAGATTGAAACTGGGTGTATGTGAAGTTTGCTTTCCGTTGGCTTGGGAATCTGACTCATCTAACAAAAACACCGGACTCTCTGCGCTCCCTCACGCTCATATTTGGCCCCGCGATAGCTCCGCGATCAAGCGGATCGGACCGTATTTGGGGCAGCCTTGTTTATGAAAAATCTGCATGTGGCTTCAGGCATTTCGCGCTTGGTACCATCAGCCATCGAGGAGCGCAATCGGCTTGGCATGACGTATCTGCATGAGGCTGTAGCCGACTCCAACATCGAGACGGTTGAGTTTCTGCTCAAGCTCAAAGTGGACGTCAACGCACGCATGGCCGTACGTCTTTTGTTGAGTTTGATGAAACAGGGGGCTGCGCCGTGGCATTTGCATTTTTGCTGCATTATATTTCGTTATGGTGGACGCGTCGTTGCACTCTGCGTTGGTTCCTGTTGGCCGGTAGCAACTGCATCTCAGACAATTTCTTCCCTTGTAGGACTCAACCAAGCGCACACCTTTGGCGACTGCAGTCGAGCGCGAGTTTGAGCAGGGCGTTCGCGCCTTGCTGCTGGCAGGCGCCGACCATAGTATTGCAGATGCCGACACACGCTGGACTGGTACGTGGTTTCTCTATAAGCGGAGAGGAGAGGAGGGGAGAGAGAGCGAGAGCGAGGGAGAGAGAGAGAGGGGGGGGGGGGGGGGAGAGAGAGGGCGAGGGAGAGAGAGGTTTGAGTAGTCTTGGTCATCCCAGCCAGAACAAAGTTTGGGCATACTTTTGGGCGAGTCGACGACAAACTCACACTTGACACTTGACTGTTGTGCCGGCCGTTCAGTGGCCCACATTGCAGCCTTGCTCGGCAACGGCACCATATTTAAATTGCTCGTCGAGCACGGAGCCAACTGCAATGCTGCTGATGCTGATGGGGTAGGTAGTCACGGCGGCCACTTAAGTGTTTGGCAAATGGCGGGTGCAAAGCTGGTCAAGGCGGCACCAATACTCAACTCATGGCACGACACATTCATAGAACACCGTATTGCACGTGGCCATGAAGCGACCACAGGCCGAGATCATTCGACAGCTGACCAAAATCCCAGGCTTGGATTTTTTTGCGGAGAACAATCAGGTATATCATCGGCCGTTTGCTTGGAGCTGTGTCTTTGATCAGAATCCGCGTGTGGCATGCCGGCATGCTCGCGGTCGCATAAGTGTGGATGCAAGAGCCTTTGCTGATTGTTCTGCATGGCTTGCAGAAACAAACACCCTTGCACTTGCTCGCGGAAAGCGCGCCACCCAACGGCTTGGAGATTCTCAAGGTGGGGGTTTCGGCTCCTGTATGCAAATGAGAAAGCATCCTCTATGCAAGGAAGACGCTGAGTGGGTTGGCATCCTCCGTGCAGTGGTTGTGGCTTATGGATGAGACTGGGTGCTCTTATGCAGATCATTTTTGAGCTGATCAACCATAATCTGAGCCCCACGGATGCAGAGGGCAACACTCCATTGCACGTGGCCATGCGCAATGGTGCATCAGACATCTCAATGGGCCTTATTCGAAACGGCGCACACCCCGGCGTACCCAACGCAGAAGGTATGGCATGCTCGCTCGGATTCTGCCTAATGTATTTTCAACGGGCTTTTTTGACTCATATCTTCCTTCTATCTCGCTTCACCAGGTGCTTGCTGCTTCGATATTGCGCGGACCAGTCCCAAACTGGGCAAATTGTTGATCAAATTACTTGGTGAGAGCCTGCGTGCAGCATCGCAGACATCATGCCCTCTGACAGCGAGACAGGAAGGCTTTTGTTGTATTTTACCTGCCATGCGTGGGTGGGCTCATGGGTCTGTCGGACCTAATAGAGCTGATACGGGATCCCCCCGCCTGGATTGAGGCGCCTTATTGCCAAGAGTGCAAGTCAAAGTTTACATCGAAGACTCGCAAACACCACTGGTGGGTTCGGTTGGCCTAGCGCCGGGGTTGCGCCGTGGCATACCTCTCATTGCTTGCATCACGTGCTGGGTTCTTTGTTGATTTCTTCGGCATGGTGTTTCTTGGGACGATGCAGCCGTCATTGTGGACGCGTCGTGTGCAAGAAGGACAGTACCAAGCAGTGCCCAATTGTCAAGTTTCAGATGCCGAAACCGCAACGTGTGTGCGATCTGTGCCACCTGGTGCTGACTGGTGGTGTCGGCGATTTGGGCTAAATTTTTGGCTCAAGACGTTGTGTTTTGTCGAGCTGCTGAGCCAAGGGAGGTGTTTTTTGTTTTTTGTTAAAAGGATAGTCAGTGTCTAGATGTTTAGCGTTACATGCATGTCAGGGAGCTCCAGGAGCTTCTCTGAACATGGTTGGTAGAGAGGCAAGTTGCACGGTCAGCTTCCTTGCCCCACAGCTTCACGCTTCAGGATAAAGGGCGCAATTTCTCTTTTTTTTTTTTTTAATGTGACCATCTAATAATTTAGTTTGCAGCTGATTTGCGCGTTTGTCAATTGGGACTCGGAACCTGGGACTTGGAACCTGGGACTGGGGACTTGATGGCTCCTGCTAGCAGCACGAACACTCTGTTCGTAAAGCAAAACCTTTTGTGCCGCGAGTTGCGTGTGCATTCCATCGATTCACCGTGCACAACAGCTGTTTGCACACACACACCTTCTCCATTTTCCACACACGGACATTTTTTTTTTTTGGAACTTGTACAAGATAAGATGGCTGGGACGAGTGATAGCCCCGCGTCGGCAGACGCCGTTATGCCGCCCGTGGGGGAAAATGGGATCCTGTACGACGTGGTCGAGTCCATCTATACACCTGGCCTTAATGGGGGCGTTGTCATCGTGCTGGCGGCCATCTTGCTGGTTCTTTTCATGGTCAATGTCTTCCTTCTGGTGGTTGTCGGTCCAAACATCCATGTGATTGTGCTCCTCTGCCTGACTGTCATCCTGTCGGGCCTCATGATCTGGTACGTGGTTCAATGCGCGCGTTTGGGTTTGGTCTGGTGGGAGGTGGGATACGCTGGTCCCGGGAACATGACAGCTTGCGGCGCGGCCTGATTGCATTAACATTTTGGCACCACGTGCTCCGCCTCTCGCGGTTTTTAGGGTCATCCCACAAATTACCGAGGCGCAAAACAATGCCAAGAAGGAGCAGACGGGTTCGGAGGCTGAGAGCAGTGATAAACCATCCGAGGATACGACAGAGAGCAAAAAGGACAACTAAAGGAGGGTCTCGTGGACCCAATATGATAGAGAGAAATCGACTAGACTCAGATCATTTGCAGCGTTTCATCCGTTTGCTTGCAGACGAGACATTCCATGTGTGCGCACCCAAACAGCTCCAGTGGCGGCCCGTTCTCTTGGCCTGTTTTCAGTCCTCTCTCGACGTGCGATATTCCCCCTTTGAGCAGGCTCGGGCGTATTTGGACAGGGTGGGGAGGACGTGCGGAATCAAATAATCATGCTTCTGGCGCAAGGATCAAGGAGCCTTGGCGCTGAAAAGTGACTGGTGCACGGTGAAGCGATTCAATAATCGATTCTCAGGTCGGCACTTTGGGTCAGGAGGGGCAAGATATTTGTTTGTCAAAGGCGACCAAGGCCTCTGAATGCATCCAAAACAGCATGGCGAGTATGAGCGCTGCTCTGCCGGATGCCAACGGGTATGGGTCAATCATGGCCGGCGTATGCCACACACCGTGTACTGAGCCCCATTCCTGAGTACAGATGAGGCGGCGTGCTGTAGCGAGACGCGCAGCCCAATCCCGGCTAGAAGATTGGCAGTCTTCATGAGGCGGCGGCCACGCCCGGCACCCAGCGGCAAGGGGGCACAGACGCGCCCTGGACCCTGAAATGCGTGGCAGTGTGCGACTGACCGGTTTTGTGTGGTGTCAAGACCCTGCATGAGCTCCCCCACTCGCCGACGTAAAGCCAGATCCACCTGATGTCGCAAATCTTGGGCTACGCGTGCCTGCTCAGCACAAACCTGCAATGTCGCCCGCAAGCACACATTGCACACATTGAACAAGATAGAGCATGGGCAACGAAGAGAGCCAGGAAAAAAATGCTAGAAGCAGCCTGCTATGCAGCCTGGGCAGGCATCAAGTGTACCTGGCGGCGCCTTGCCAACGCCTCATCGCAGCAGGGCTGGCTGGCAGCGCGAGTCCATAATCGAGACAACTGGTCCCTAGACCAAGATGGGCGTCGTTCGACACCAGGGGCTGTGAGCAGGGGAGGATGCTTTGACTGGCGGCCCATGGCAGCGAGGGCGCACCATTGCTGTGCCTCAGTCGAAAGGGCCGAGTCTGTCCACGTGAAGCAAAAGCGTTCCCAGGGCTCGCGGCCAGGCCAGTCGGCCCGTGCGGCCATGGCACGTATCGTGGCGTCAGCAATGCGAGCCGAGCCAGTGCGTTGGGCATTGCGGTGCAAGCACTCGTCCAAAGATGTATCAAGCCTAAGAAAGCAAAGCCCGGCCTCGTCTGCACAGGTGCCCCGACGCCTTGAAGTGAGACTCGTACGCAGCTAGCGAGCGAAGCGATGGCACAACCAAGCTCACGTTGCTGCGCCAGGTGGAAGGCCTCCTTGCGCATTGAAGCCATGTGAAAGGTATCATCCAAGAGCACCAACGACGGCGCTGAGCTGTGCAGGGTGGTCCAAGGCGACAGCGTCAAAAAACAGACTTGACGGAAGACCGACAGCGGCTACACTCGTCTCACCCAGCTTTCAGCGCGGCATCGCGGGCGTTGTGACAGGCTTGCTCAGCCGCGGCGCGCGCCAAGCGCCGCTCACTCTTGTACGCTTGCACACCAACCAGATAGTCATCATAGCGGACATGGAACACTTGCTGTTCATGTGCACCGCCAGCTGCAGCCAACACCGCTCGTGACAAGGTCGTCTTCCCACTGCCGGGCAGTCCACACAAAACCACAAGGACCACTTGGGCCGAATCTGCCGATGCCATGACGCAGCTCGCCTTGCCGGTCATTGGTACTTCATTTCAAGTTTGTTGAGGTGGGAGGAGGGGGGGGGTCAGAGGGTCCTATTGAGCCATTAGCGTAACAAGAGAGTGTGGCCTGACTCAATGTCTGCCATAGTAAAAAGGGCAGAGCGGAGCGCTCATCATATGTTGAACCAGAAGGAACAACTACAATCCTAATCCAGCCTTCGAATACGTGTTGACCTATATCTGGGACCAGAATTTATCGGCTTGTGGGTGTAGATTATTGATGCAAGTGTGTTATCGTCTCACTTTGGATGATTAAAATGATGACATTGCCGATCGAATCATCAATTTTTCCAACAACAACAGCGTTGATGGTTATGCCGCCGAGGCAAAAAGCTAGCTAGCTAGGCAAGCATAAAGTCTTGGCCAAGTAGAGAAAAGCCAAAATACCTGCCATCGGCCGCCTCACCCATTTCTATTGTGCAGTTTATCCCATTCAAACAATAGGTGAGCAATTCGGGAAAAGTTGCGCCAAAGCTGGTGTGATGTCTAACGCAGGACGTGACGGTACACACCCATGTGGTCACTGGTCATTTCGTGGAAGCCCACGTGCTCAAAGAACTCGGCCACCGAGTATTGCCAAGGAAAGAGGTGAACGTGGACCCCGGGCAAGCTAGCCTCACGAATAGACTGAAGCATGACATTGACGAGCTTGCGCCCGTTGCCATGGCCCTGCGCACGTGAGTCGACGCACAGCACCAGTCGCGCAGGGTAGTGCCTACAGGGCCGAGAAGAAAGAGAGCAGGCGCGCAGGAATGAGCACTGGTTGGGTTGGCCATAGGTGCAAGAGCACAATGGGTCACCAAAGCAGCAGAGGGTGATGGAGAAGGGTAACGATCGGCAAAAAAGATTTGAGCAAGGGTGCTCTCGGACAAGAGTGAGACAAACTTTTCCAAAAATGATGAGGATTGAGGGAACTGGGGATTCATGAGCTCCTCCAAAACCTGCGCCGACGAATTCATGCCATCTGCAGGATATAAAAGTTGATTGCAAGATCAGCTTGTGCGGAACGCTCAAACCCGGTCGATTCGTACGCTCTGCGCCTGAAAATGTCAGCAAACAATTACACGAGGACAGGCGCAAGGCGTACCCTCGTTGGAAGTGGGGAGCTCTTCGCCCGAGTACTTGGTGAGAACTCGCGGCAAATACTCAGTCAGGTAACGGTGCTGAAAATCCGTGGCGTCGCCACACGCCACCACAAACCCACAAATGCCCTCCTTATCCTACACATGGTCCAGGTCAGGCAAGATCTGCTTTAATCCAGCCGATCCAGCGAGCAGCCTGCATACCTCGAGGGTATACGCAAAACATTGGGGTAGACGCAAGAAGGGCCCCAGGTGTCGATCAGCGTAAGCTTGCAGGGCCATCGGACTTAGCTCAGCTCCTGGAGCAATAAAAAAAAAAAAAACAACGGGTTTTACGATTCAAGGTCAGTGAAGGCGTCAAGCCAATCGACCGCGACCCTTTTTTTAAAAAAAAAAAAAAAAAAAAAAAAAAAAAAAAAAAAAAAGAGCACAGTCCCGAGGGTTCCACACGCGTGCGCGCAAAAGCCGAGCACGGGACGTACGCATTGATTCGGAAAGCAATTGTTCAGTGTAGAGTTGATAAAGTGCGCCTTGATCTCCGGCCTCATACTGTCGGATGACGTAGGTCTTGTTGCTTTCTGTGACGTAACGGAAGGCAGTGCCCACATTGGCTTGGTTTGCAGGCAACAGGGCCTGAAAGGTGGCGATGATGCCCCCCGATGAGACGGAGGGTTCCAGATTCGGAGGGGCCGAGCGCAACATGGGCTTGCTCATAGCCTCCATATCATCAAGGGACGCCACCACCGCGCTCGCCAGCTACAAAGAGAGAAAGAGAGTACCGCAGGTGAAAGATAGCGCTTACGCAAGGTCGATCCTTGGTTGGATTGACAACAGAGTCGCACATGCAAGTGTATCTGCGCACGCAGCCACGAGGCGCGCGAGTTACCACAACAATGAGGGGTCTGGAGAGCGACGCTAACGCACCTCCTTCACGTCGTTGATGTAGTTGGACAACTCTGAATAAAGCTCCCGTGAGACGATGGAGCTCAACTTGCGGGAGAGTGAGGTCAATGCATGACCCGCCTCCCGGCACAGCTTGGCACGCTCCTGCCAGTCCTTGGCTACGAATCAAGAAGGAGCAGGGGTTGGTGCGGAAGATCAGTTCAAAACCCGCGAGAAGGAAACACACCCCAGCAATAACCGTGGCTCTGCTCACGTACTCAGCTTTGGTGAATGGGTTTGCAAAAATACAAAGTCATTGATGAGGCGCCAGGCGCTGTCGCCATAGTCATAGGGTAAGTGGTAGAGGTCGACCAGCAACGAGATTTCCTCGGCCGTGATATTGAGCCGCTCTCGGCCTGGTTTGAAAAAAGGCAGCCAATCGTTGATGGCTGATTCACAGGCCTCCCGGGGATTGTAGCGCGAGCGCAATCTCGCCCATTCACCCAGCGTTTGCAGAGGGATGAAGTTGGCATGGTACTCGCAATTGGGGTTACTCAGCACACCTGAGACGTGCTCCAAGATCTGCCAAGAACGTCCGTGGTAAGGGCCAAGAAACACGCGCCGCTTGTCGAAATCGTTGGCATGGATGTTGTCTAACAGACATGGCACCCATATTGGAGGTCAAGTGGTAAGCAGGGGCCATCCGTCCAAAAAGTGATGCGAGGACAAGCGAAAGGGAGCAAACGTGAGCAGCCATGAACAACAAGCTGCGCGAGCGTTTGGCACAAGGGGCAGACATGATTCAGCAGAGTGCAGGCGTTTGAAGCGGGCCCGGCGAGTCTTACCCCAAATGCAGGGCTTGCGCTTGATGACGGCACGGAGTTCTTGCAGGGAAGGAACATCAATTTCGCGAGGGATGACTGAGTCCCCGGTCCAAAAGACCTCAATGCCAGCATCAAGGCGGAGGCCGATGGTGCGGAGATACTCTGATTCAGACACACTGGGGTTGGCTCGAGAGGCACAGTACTCGGTGGGGCAAAAGAGCATGCGCTTGGGAGCTAGGTGTGCTCGAAGTTCGTTTGCCACGGTGCAGTGGGCATGGCACAAAGAGTCAAACGTGTCAATATCGGCCTGATTCATGAGCCCGTCAATGTCATCAAAGAGAATGGCAAAACTGTTGCAGCCCAAGGCGGCTACGGAGTCAAGCTTGGCGCGGAGTAACGCGTTCTCGTCAGCCGAGCAGTAGGTCATGTCCAGACCCGGGGAAATGGCATAGATGAGCTCAACATCGTGGCGCTGGGCCTCATCAATCAGGTCTTGCAGTTCCGCTGATTGATTAGAGCACGTTGGGGCCATGATGTGTAAGCGTAGCCCGGACACATGGGATGAGTCAAGGACAGCGCTTTGAAAGGTGCATCGCAAGCACATCAAAAGTGCAATGCTCGTTGGACATGACAGCGAGCTTACCGAGTTCATCCTGATCGTATGGCTCACGCCAGCCGGCACGATGCTTTTTGTCATCTTTAGGGGCGTACATGTACGCCGTCAAGTGCCAATTGTTCATCAGAGCAAAGAGGTCATGACGCTGGTGTGCCTTCCAAGGACGACCGTCTGGTTGAAAAAAAAAAAAGCAAATAAGCAAGAAAGCAAAAAAGCAAAGCACACACACACACAAGGTTGGAATACAGTGAGCTGGGGATTGAGATGCATGTCATGACGTGTGCAGGGAGGCAGGCCAGCTGTTATGGCCGGAGAGTCGTGTTTGTATGTTTGAGAGGCGGGGTTGAGATTCAGAGAAAGGGGGAGGAGAGAAAGGGTGCGAGGGTGCTTTACAGCGACAATACTCACAAAAGCCCTCAATGACGCCGATCAGGGGCAGGTCAGCTTCCGACATGACGACGGGCGAGAGAGGACGAAGAACAAGTTTGCTTGTACTGACTAAACTGTCAACCCGCGGCAAGTTTTCAGCGCTTGCGGCGCGGGTCAAGGGTGAGGCCGAGGCAGGGGAGGGCAAGAAAGGCGGGAGCCTTTCACTGACAGCTCGAGTGGATCATCGACTCAACGGCAGCCGAGGTTCAATGCAGCTTTTGACAGCTAAGCAGTGGGTGGGCCAATGGTACTTGGAACCACGTCAAGGCTCATCAATCCCAACAGAAGCGTCGTCGTTCCTATTTGCGAGCCTACTCAGACGGCTGTCGATACTAATAGCAGCAGCATGCGAGGAATGAGCGTGCCTTGCATAAAACGGTGACGCGTATCATGCGCAAACAATCAACTGGGAAGGCAGAGAGCAGCACAGTGGCAGGAAGCATGCATGCGGTCAAACTGCAGCGCAAGTCGACGCACTACCACACCCATCTGACCAACAAAGCGTGTCCACCACCCGGTTCAGCTCGACAGCGACCCAGTGCGTCTGCCTGCGTCCTGTGTGTCGGGGTCGCCGTCCAAAAGGACGAAGAAGTCGACAATTTGTTTGACAGCAGTTACACAAACCTTTTTGTTGTGTAGTGTGTGTTCAAGGATGAAGAAATGCTACACACACTCTCTCTCTTTGCCTCACTCTACACTGTGTGTCTCTGTGTGTCTCTGCCTCTGCCTCTGTGTGTCTCTGTGTGTCTCTGTGTGTCTCTGTGTGTCTCTGTGTGTCTCTGTGTCTCTGTGTCTCTGTGTGTCTCTGTGTCTCTGTGTGTCTCTGTGCCTCTGTCTCTGTCTCTGTCTCTCTTTTTTTTTTAATGAACCGTCACCGTTCTGTTTTCTGTCTCTGTCTTTCTATGCCTCGCTTCAAGTTTCGTTCTGTGTCTCTCTTTATGTGTATGTCCTGTTCCTCTTTGACTTTCAGACTCTTGAACTGTCTATCTCTCTGACTCTCTCTCTCTGACTCTCTCTCTCTCTCTGTCTGACTCTCTCTCTGTCTGCCTCTCCTTCTCAGAGTGGAATGAGGCAGTTAACAGCGGCAGGAAAGGAGAGCAGCACACATGCACTCAAATACCCAGTGGCACCGAGTCACAGGGTACATGAGCGACGTGTATGACAGGGTGAATGAGGCACGAGGCAACAGTTCTTGATTGGGACGGTAGAGTGGACCAGCCAGTCCAGTATGGCAGTCCATCGCTTCCCCCTCCCCTTTCAATGGCCACCACCTCGACATCGTGGCCAGATACCTCGCAACCCACCCCGCCCAGGACTCTCCGACGCATGTGACCCCGCCAAAATATCAACTCCTTCTACACAACACACCCATTTTTCCCTTTGTGATATTTGTCTGACAATTTACCGACTGTAGGCCTTGACAGCTGTGTAGGGGGAATTCAAACTTGATGTCTAAATGTAAAATAGTTGTGCCGATCTTTCGAGCCCCACCTACCTGCGGAATCAAAGGTGATGACAATTGGTGTGATGGAGGTGTGTGGTAAAATTCCCGTTTTGGATTATATGACAGCAAGTTGACGGGCCTAATCTCTGGCTCTCTCGCTCTCACTCTTTTCTCGATTGCTGTATCGGGTCAAGACGCTGATCCAACAGCGGCGGTTAGCACGATCCTCCACAAGACGGGTCCAAACTTGATATTGGCCCGACGATACGAAATACACACTCTCGCTCATCTAATAACCTGGCTTTTGCTCTTCCATTGAGCTTTTTGTTGCGGACTGGGGCAAAGCCGGCCTGGAGTCACCTATTCTTTAAATTCCATCTGGTTTGACACGCGGCAGACTTTAGGACGTGGCACGAGTCACCGCGGCGCGGGTGGCAGCAATCTTAACATCGAGGTCATCGGCAAAGATGTCGCGGGTAAAGTAACCAAAGTCCAGATCCTCCACAGCCGTGACCGAATTGCCGTAGTAGTCAATGGCCACCAACTCTGGGCGTCCCTGCAGGATATAGGTAGAATACATGAGCAGCCTCCGCACCCATACGCACACATGTACATCAACACACTGGCATGTACACATACCTCTGTAAGCTCGAGAAGCTTGGCATTCGATACAGCATTGACATATCGAAAGCAGAGCTCCTGTCAATCAAACAACCCGCCGCTGTGAGCTATCAAGTGCGTGCATCCTCGGCACCCCCTGGCAGGAGCATCCAAAAAGCAACAAAACTACAGACCTGCAGTCGCGGTAAACACGCCAGGTCCTCAAGGGGGCTCAAGCAATCGTCGGTCAAGACCTTGAGACCCGTCAAATCAAGAACCCGCAGTTGCCTAGATGACAACCACCGTGAACACTGGGCGCCACAGGAAGAGGCGTCCAAGAGCCGATGAGGACGTACGGCAGATTTCGGCACAGAACCTGAACGCCATGGTCTGTGATTTGCCAGCACCACGCCAGCACTAGATATTCAAGCCGCAGGCATCGACTCGCCAGAACAGCAACCACTGTTTCCAGGCACCCACCGCACAAGGAATGAGGGAAGGGGTTGGTGGCATCGTGTGGCACGCACGGTGGCCCACCACGCACCATGATCATCCACGTGAACGCCCTCGAGCAAGTCTAGTCGTGTCAAGTTGCAGAGGTTGTGCAGCAAGTCACACACGCGCGGTGACGGACAAAGGGCAAGCTTGCGCAGGCGGAGCCACTGAAGCTGCTCAGACGCATGTAACGGGGTCAACTCGGTAAAGGACTCGCAGAAGGAGATGCTCAAGCGTCGCAATCGCCTCAGAGCTCCAAGGTGAGGCAGCACAGCACTGCTCGTGTCATCACCATCCTGAAGCGGACCAAGCAAGGACATTGTCACAGTCAAGAATTGTCAAACGGAAAGTCAGGGGAAGAGGAGCAAGAAAATGCCCGCCACGAAAGATGGATCGAGCAAGTCAATCGTAGATGACTTCAAAAAAAACACCACCAAAGATCATTGACTTGGCGTTACACACGTACCAGCAGCAGACTTTCGAGATCTGGATTATTGGTTAGGATGGTAATGATGTCCCGATCCTGCAAAGGTAGAACATCGTCTAGATTCAGGCTTTGCAGTTTGCAAAACCGTAGCAGAACAGCCACGGCCTGCACCATCCAATGGGGTGACAATCGGTGGCGATTGACATTGTGAGTTGAAGAAGCGAGTCGAGTTGTTGCTGTAAAGGAGGGAAAAGACAAAGAAATCAAGAAAGAGCGCGCGCAGGGGGAGGGGAAGGGCGCAGGCCGACATAGCGTGCGCAGGAGATTGCAGGGATAAAATTGCACCTGAGGGCACAAGCCTGCCGCCTGCAAATGGAGGCCACGAAGAGACCTCAGTTGATTGTCATCGATGGAGATATCACAGTCTTCCATGCGCACGCCCTGGGTAGCAAAGATGGCCCCACAGGGTGAGTTGATCACGTTCATGGACAATTGTTGAAAGGCTGGCCCGGAAAGTCATGGTTGCACGGGCCTACATTTAAAGCCAAAGTGTGTAGCCGTGGAAAGTAGGCCAGACATGTGAAAAGAGCGTTGGGCACGTCAAACGCATTGCTCCAGTCAACAAAGTTCATGTGTAGCTCCTGTAAATCTTTTTGGGCATCAAATGACTCGCGTCAGTCCCCACCATGTAGGCGCTGTTATATGCAGCCACGCTGGCAAGAAGGGGAGGAAACAGGTGATGGCCCCGAGGGCCTGGGACAGCCGCCATGCATGGAAGAAATGCAGGGTTGGCAAAATGGAGAAGACACAACCAACGATGGCGTGTGGGAAGATCCTACCAGGGGCTTTTCGGGCGAGCAGATGGACCAGATCAGGTGCCAGCTCATCAATGTCCATGCCTTGACAGCTAAAGGATACGACATTGCGATGTTGCGCCAAGATCCCGCGGATGGCATGCATGCCGAGGCCCGGAACCTATCGCGTGACAGACACCAGATGAAGAAGGAAAACAAATCGATGAAAGAAACTTACCCGAGCGCCGCACGTCGATGCAGATTTGATGTAGAGGAGCAAGCCGGGTCCGCACCTCTTGGCCACTGATGTGGACGGGCCATGTGACAAGCAGGTCACGGAACCGACGACACAGGGTTTCCAAACGGCAGCGAGTCGTCAGATCCAGTAGCTCAAATATCCGACGGAGCACATCATCCGGCAAGTCTTGAAGCCCGACCTAGAAGTCATAATAATATTATTAAACCGGTGACCACAGATCGACACAGCACCAGTCGCCCCCCCCCCCCCCCC